GAGCCATAGAGGGTAAGAGTGTCCTTGCGGTTGCAACTTGGGCACTGGAGGTGAGATCGTAATGCTTTAAAGGTGTTGCGTAGGCTGGTGCTTTCCTTCTCGCTTAAGCGAGTAAGTCGGTTGGTGGCTGGGCCCATTAGGTCGCGGTAAGTGCGGTGGTTCGATTTGGGTGGTGGTGTGTTTGGTGTTAAGATTACTTGTCGAGTGATGATAACGAGTTGGAATTCCACACAGCAGGGGTGAAGTGTGGAAAGTGGGGAAGAGATGGAGAGGGTGAGAGGGTGACGGCAAAGCCTTCGCGTGGCCATCCTTGTCAGTACATGGGTTTCCATGGAAGCTAATTTGCCACCTTATCATTTATATACTTTTTACGCATTCGTGAGCATCACTAACAGTACTCTAATAGCTATATCAAGTGGCCAAAAGGTACAGGCTGGGAGTCGAACCCAATGAGAGATGATGCCCAAAGTTGCACTACCTGACCAAGAACCTATTCAATAATAGCAGCATTCATTATCACAATAAACGCCTTTTCCATTGTCTTTGTTCGCTGCACATACCTTTGTTCATACACATAAAGACCTTTGTTGATGGGTTGCTGGAAACCGAAAACCATTTTGAGCCGAAACAAGAAGCCAAACCAGCCAACGCCTTGATACCAAACTTGCCCTCTATACAAGCTAACACGTCAATGGAACCAGTTCAACTGCAACATTGGACTCTGAATGTACCTGTTGACACCAAGCGTAGAGCGGGAATAGCAACGAGCAAAAGGAAGCAACCATATCGCCATGGCAACCACCAACCACCAACCATGCTCATTCCTCAGCACTTGGACACGCACTCACTCCCTGACAATGCATGTTCAGAACTACATTAACACCTCACAGCCCAACAAGAGCACTCTTTGATAATACATTACCTTGATCGAGATGTCGTGAATGGAATAAGGAAAGGTGGGAGAAAAAGAAGAGAAGCGCTGTCTAAGTCGTGGAGCTGCTGTCTTCCAAGTTTAAATCCCCCTACTGCTATTACACTGAGGCCACTCAATGACCCCACACACACCCATCCACCCATCGTCATCATCACCCTCACGATAGACAATAGGTACACGTAAATAAAGAAATGATCCTCACGTATAGCAAAAGGGTGTGTGCCATTTTACACTTTACATGATAATGATAATGCAACAACAGTTATTGCCTTACTACCAAGTCCCCAAGCAACAGCCTTTTTATTTTACTCGATCCAGTCCAAAGCGTTCTTTTTCCTAGTATGCTCTATGTTTTCCCTAACAGAAAAGTCCTTCATTTTGCATGATACATTTCACTCTCCCACCTAATAAGGAAACAACTCGTACTAATACCTCAAGATTGCACAATCAAAACATGGCATGGTTAGTGTTCCAGACATGGCCAACGCATCTATTATTGCCACCTTGTTTATCCCATACCTGATTTATCAATCATGCTAGGAGGGCTCTTTGTGAAGGCGCCCCGCCCAATCTATCAGCTCATCACCATCTTCTTTAACAATCATTTATCACTCTTCTTTTCTGTTTGTGGTCACAAAAATACCCACGCCCACGATGCATAAAGATGTTGTCGCCCATCATTTTCCACCAACATCTCTTTCTTCCATCATCCCGCTCTTTGATTGCTGACACCTTCGAAGCCCAAGCTGATGTGAGTATGCCATGGTATTCTGTGAGCGATCCATGTACTCATATTCGGGATATCTAGCGTTTCATTGTCATCCCACTTTTATTGTCCTGTTGTCGTTGAGATATTTCATCACAGGTAAAACTTAAACACGTCGCTTAATGAAGCACATACTCATACCCCTTTTGATGTAACTACCTTCAGAGATGCATTTGCAAAGCTGGATTAGATACTACATGCTATTCCGGCCGGCATGGGGCGATGTAACGGCTTCTGTCATGTATACGCAACATCAATGATGTTGTTGTCAAGGCATGGCACTGTCAAACATCACGGATTCAATAAGCATCGTGTACGAAGAACATACATGTTGCCTTCTTTTTATAAGGGTTTCTAATCTAGCTAATTCTATGTACGTAGACGTCCATCATCTTGTGTGCAAGAAGGAATGGGTCAAACAATGCTATGCCGGTGTGCAGTAAGTGTCGATATACGTAGAGCTCTTTGTATGAACCCTTTTTGCTTATTGATCCTTTTTAGGCTATCAATGAAAGCCAAAGAAGCCTAGTTGCAAGCCTTTTCTTTCTTTGGTGAGGTCTTCAGCCTATATATGTGCCACGGATCCACACTGCAAGGACCAAGTCATAAAGCCAGCAGTGCCAAAATAGGTATCGTATGTCGACTTTAACATTTGATACCGAGCAATATGATTCCATCGAATGGCCTGTGGAACAAAGGGAAGAGGATGCCACAATCATGTTGCCCATACAAGACCAATGCGAAGGCGTTTGTTTCCCTCCTTCTGACCAAGAGCTGGGTGCAATAATGATGGCAACAAGCGATATCCCACAGCATACCGACGCAATTATGATCCCGATACAAGATCATCGTCTAGTAAGTTAATTTGCATCATGCAGGCTCTAGGAACCCGTATTCATTACTGCTATTCTATAGACAGCATCAAACATGTTTAAAATGGCCGCCAACGTGGCCAAAATCATTGTTGTTTAGACTTCATAAAATCCCCCGGTTGCTTGGTGACAGGCCTATATTCGACTTGATTTGGTAAGTGGTGATGGCTATCCATAGTGAAGATGTGTCTGATTTCCCTTTTATCGGATACAGGGGGAAAGCATCGTTGAACACATCAAAGGAAATCAATGACAAGCTTAATACGTATGCTGAAGGACCGCCAAATGGTTCTAATGCCGATGGGATCATTACACACGTGTTGAAGGACTTGGAACTGTACATAGTGGGAGTCAGCAGGCTCCAAGGCAAAAACAACCATACGCACTACATCAACGACAGGAACAAGATCGCGATCAACTTGAAAAAGATGATTTTGATGATTTTGCGAAGGTGTGCTACAAGCAATCCATCCACGCTGAAAGATCTTGTTCTTTCTTTAAGGTATGTATAGGCACTGTCACTGCTGTATTTCAATTATCAATATGCTTAAGATCCATCTACAAGATAAAGATGACAAGCCTATGTATTACAACGACCACACTTATCCCACAAGAAGACACCACTTGTAGTATTCCCACCCACATAATAAAGTTTCATCACACAATGAACTCCATCAACCTATGCATCACCTCGTGTATCCCCAGCATCCTCATATGTAAATCCCATCCTTATAGCATCATCTCAAGTATCATAGAACGTGTATAAGACATGTTGTAATTGTAGCTGATAACAGCAGTTGAAACAATATCACGTATTATATTCAGTTACTTCCCCTATGCTAGATCAAAGATACCACACACAATCCTGGCAGGTCTTTTTCTCTGCTTGTTTTCTCATTCTTTCCAGCCACCTTTCTTGTGAACCAAATGTTCCATTCCATAGCTTACCATTGTCGCCATTACTCGCATACTTCATTAAACTTGCTATATGTACTCAACTTGGTTGTCATGTTGGTAGTGTTGTTGATTAGAACTCGAGTTGGGCAGTGACACAAGAGACACGCAAAAGTGAACGCTCCATTTTTCCTTTGACGTGATGATCCCGAACTTCGTGCATAAACGAATGTTGACAACGATGACTTTTTTTTATTGATGAGAGTTCTATGAAAAGTAAGGCAATGCAAAATGATGATGGGATAGGGAAACTACAAGTCATCAAAACCACGTTGTGTAATGACGTAATCTGTGCGCTTCGTTCCAGTAAGCTTAAGATATTCAGGTGTGCAGCTGTACCAATGTCGATCTAACAAGAAGAACGTGTAAGGATGAATACGTCATGTTTTTTTATAATTGAAACAAGCCTTACCAAAGCTCTCGTCAGGGTTACATGAACATTTCTCTGCCGGCAGCCAATCGGGCTCACTGGGACATTGCCACCATGGATTATGAAAGTATCCGATATCATAGAAAAAGTGAACCTCGGATTGCTTGAGCATGAGTGCAACGGCAATGCTATGTACTGGTGCGTCACCCCATCTACATCAATGGTCAGCGTAACTATGTCTAGATGGCTTCTTACATTCGTTTTGTGTGTACTTACCTTTCATAGAAAAACCCGCCAGCTTTGTCCAGGTAGTTAAAGTAGTCCATGTATTTTTGTGAACGTAGCCATGATAAAGATCCAATCTCAAAGTTGCTCCAAAAGTGACAAAGGTTGTATGTCTCGCCACCATCGTTGCTAATCCAACCCAACAAGCTCTCCGGATCATTCTTTGGTACGATGTATTCGGGATGCTCTTTTGCAAATGCCTTGACGGTATCCCAGAGCGTTGGAATAGTCTCCACATACTCCTTGATGGAAATGGTCCAGCCTAGCATAGATGACATCCTCAATGAGCCACTTTTCCCAGAGATGCCATATAGCACTTATTACCATATTTCAAATCCTTCTCACGCATGACTTGAAAGGGATCGTAATCGATATCACAAGGGAATTTGACATGCGGCTCAACACGCCTACACAAGCATTTCCTTTGTAAGTTGTTTGCTTCATCCATGATGCTCGTCAATCCAACAACTCACCAGTAATAGTCATAAGAATCTAGCAAAGGATGCCGGAAAAAGAACCCACTTTGAAATCTATACCATGGATAAAAGTGATATCAGTCAATGAACGCCATGCCATCTTCTTTCATAGACACTTTACCTGCACATGTGTCTATACGATTCACTTCCACCATAGATGACACCTTTTTCCTCCATCTTTTGACGACTCTCCCGTGCTTTGTCTTGATCAATCCAATCTGGATATCCCCACATGGTCTCGTTCAACGTTCCATAAAAGGTCTCACCAGACGCCAAACCAGCTGTCAGCTCCTTGAAGCGATCGTCAAAAGGGTCATTGTTGAGGAAGATCCAAGGATAGCCATGCTTGCGATTGAACCTGTCTTCCAGCTGATGCATGGTCTCGCGTAACGAATTCAGATCCTCATTGCGAGCAAGTACGACAAAGGCGGCATTCTCACGTGTACCCTTGGGTCGAGGAGTGGGTCTGTAATACGGCAGCCGTTGCTTTATACTCAATGAGCTGTTACGATGTGCAATCACCAAAAGCAAGAGTACAAGCGACACTGGTAACACGATACGAAGTAGTGCTTTGCCGACTCGTGAGGTAAACATGGATGGTTGGTTGGTTGGGTAGGAGAAAGAGCGTGTGTGTGGATAATGTTTGTGTATGCGAGGCCGCGGGAAACTGAATCAAATGTGCAACCATAGCAAGTCTTGGCGCATCCACGCTACTTTCTAGTACAACCTCCTTACTCCCAAATCATCAATCATTAAAACACCCTATCGTATATAACCATATATGCTTATTGAATCTATCGGTATCGCTTGCCATTTTTATTCTTTTGCATAAGTAACATCCCATTAGTCAAATACGTGATGGTGACACGACAATGCACGGTTGACAGCACGTGTGTATTACGTGACATTCTTCCCATTTAAATTTGCCTCTGTTAAGCGTTTGTCCCACTGTAGCTGAATTCTAATTCGACAACATTTAGGCAATAACACCAATACCTTCATAGCTGCATTACAAGCAGTCGTTGTTCCTTTTGAATAAAGCGTAGTTGATTTGCTATACCATCAAGTTGAGCCATATGCTTTTGGTTTTGCTCTTTGTATCATTGTCGCCTTCTTGCACCATGGCTTTTGATTGCTGTTGATATCAACGGATGATCATCGTTGCTTATAGCGAATGCGCAAGCATACATGTATACTACTTGAAAGTATGTATAAATAATGATGGAATCCCTAATATGCGCCTCGGTGGATTTGAATCTCCTTTGCTCGTTGGTGTCAAAAAGTAATAAACGGATGCTCGTTCCTTTTACCACGAGATTGGCTTTAGATGCCTGTATTCAACGAAAGAATACTACGCAAAACCCGCTTGTCATCAATCTCATTTCCATAATACACTTTTTTTTACTCGAATAACTATATTTGTACATATACAACAGGGGATGATGGCTATCTCTATTCCTCTGCGCTTCTTTGAAGTTGATCCAAGATCATCTTTGTGACAACATTCCGTATTTCCTCCTCATCTTGTACACCACCTTGTTCTTGTATCCTTCGCATCATTTCTTCGACGTATCGCTCCATGTCAGCATCATCGCCAATATCATCGGTGATAGCACCCTCAGCATTAGAATCCAATACTTGATCCACTTGATCCGAAACGGTAGGTAAATGCTCATTTGTAACACCAGCAAGCAATTCTGCTACTTCACCCCATCCTTCTTGATATGCATTCATGGCAGGTGAGATACCATCCTCATTCTTGTGGTTTGCATCAGCCCCGTGATCCAAGAGAAATTGTGCCATTTCAGCTGATTCAGCAACGTATAATGGTGTGTCCTTTTCAAAGTCTTCAATGTTGATATTGGCATTCTTTTCCAGCAAGTATTCAATGATCTCCTTTTGGTTGTACGATACTGCAGCGTGCCTAGAAAGATGATATAGCTTAGAAAAGCTCCCTCTTTGTCTCGAATAAAGCATACACCAAACTTACATGGCTGTATATCCAAACTCATCATGGCTATTCACATCCATGCCATCCTCAATAAGCTCCTACATATGACTTGAATATCAATGATACTCGTTCGTTTCTTGTTCGTTGTTGGGCTGTTGTTTACCTTGACTCGTGCAAGTTGACCATCGCCTGTAATCGGGTTCGGTTAATTTCGACGATTCGATTGGCGTGCGTGATGGCTATCTTACCAGCGGCGATCCACAAGTTATCCTGTGTTTCTGGTGCTCTCATGGTATGCAAGTGGTATGGGGTTGTATGTAAAGAAACAAAGAAAAAGAAATGTGCATTGTTCCATGTGGCAAAGTCATAGTCACAATCATGCACTGAACATCATCCCGCCTTTTTGGACCTGCGCACTTTTGGCTGGCAACTTTTTTTCCAACCTACTTCTTCTCCTAATACCACGTCTCCAACTATGCCCCGTCAACGCAGAAGAGGACGCAAAGAAAAGAAAGACGACAAGAAGGTCGACGCACCCATCGATACCATTGACGATCTCGATCAACAACAGCAGCAGCCCGATCAACTCGCATCGATGAACCATGATCAGCTTGACCAGGACAGAAAGTTTCGATTCACTTCATATGGCCGCGTCGAAGAAGAAATCATGGGATACTTTAAACACGTCGAGGAAACCTTGGATGATCCACCTTTCGAGACAGCAGAAGGTATAGCTACTATCTACATCGTATGAGAATGCTTTCATATTCATACACAAGCTATCATAGATCAACGTCTCTTTGTGGATGCTGTATACAATGAGGTCGAAGGCAACGAATTACGTCTTGCAGTCAATCCCACTTGTTCGCTTATCCTTGAAAAGCTGTTGACCGTATCGAATCCATTCCAATTGCGTGTCTTTTGTGATAAGCTTAGTGGACGGTGAGTACCATCCTCAATGTCCTTTTTTTGTTCAAGATGTATATTGACAATCGCCTCTATTTAGTACCATCGAATTATTCACAGATCGTAACGCGTCCCATGTCATTCAACGCTTATTGACGCTTGCAGCGGATGTGGTTGAGACCGAAGTCAAGGAAGGCAAGCAAGATGCAATGGAAGTCGATCCAGAGCAAGGTCAACTCTTGTCCATGGAGCAAATGATCACCCACATGGTCGAAGACGTCCTCCCTGAATTGGTCGATCTCATTGTTCAACGCTATGCTTCTCATGTGATCCGCGTCCTTATCTTTTTGTTGGCTGGCAAACGCATCGATGATTTCAAGGGTCAAGTGCGAAGTAAGAATGCAAAGAAATTCAAGCAAAAGTATGATCCATCAGCTAGCAAGGTAAAAGCAACATTAGCATAGTGATGGCATGTGCTCGTACTCATATTCTTTATAGGCATCATCCAAAGCATCACCCACTCGTCTTGTACCTGAATCATTCAAGGACTTGCTTCGTGCAGTGAGCGGTCATATCGCTGAGAAGGCTTCTGAAGAACAATTACGTAGCATAGCATTTGACAGTAATGGCAATCCCGTCATCCAGGTAAGAGAAAATGATCGAGAAGCACCAAGGAAAACAACTTTGCTAACGCTTCATCACATAGATTCTTTTGGAGGCATTGGATGATAAGGATCCCGAGAGTGAGAAGATCAAGACGACTTTGTTGGATCGTATGCTTTTTGGATTATTGAGTGCTGATGAAACGGATGCGACAAAGTACGCTCGTCAAAACTGGTTCCAGGGCATGATTTTCGACAAGGTTGGCAGCCACATGGTACAACTCATCATCAAGGTGGCACCCACATCCGTATACAACAAAATGTATGATGCACTTCTCAAAGGCAAATTGCTCGGATACAGCAAACACAATGTCGCCAATTACGTCGTTCAGTCGGTGGTGGCAAATGCACGTACAGCTGATCAAATCAAAGAAATGGCAACCGAGTTGGGTGGTTTCAAATCGCTTCTTGAAAATGGAAAGTATGGTGTCGTTCGCACTGTGGTTCAAGCTTCTGCCAATCTCAAGACCATGGAAAGTGAGGTGATGGATTGGTTACTCGAAGCATTTGGCGTCAGTGGAAAGGATGATCAAAAGGAGTTGGCCAATTGTCTCATTCGCATGAAATCACTCGAGGTATGGTTTAATTTAACTTCAATTCGGGCGAATGAGGTTGCTGACAATCGCCATGAGTAGACATGGAAGGAGAGATCTGAAGAAGAACGGTACAATGTCGATGATCTTCATATTCAAGGCTCTTTATTATTCCAAGACATCATGAAAATGTCCAGCAATCATCACAGCGTCTTGATTGGCAGGTAATGCACAATAACATATAGCCTAATACGCTTTATATTCATGCTATTGATTCTATAGCTTCTTGTCACAAAAGCCAGAGTGCACGCTTCGATGGTGTTTCTCTCCTCAAGGCTCCCGTGCTTTCGAATCCATCCTTACATCCGAACAAGTGAACATGAAGGTTAAGAAGAAGGTGATCAAGAACCTTGAAGGCCGCTTTGTTGCTTTGGCAAAGGACAAGTTCGGTAGCCATGTCATTGAGCGCTGTTGGGCTTGTGCTGATATCCACACCAAGGTAAATGAAATGGATGAGGTTGGCTATTGATGCAAATTACTCACATAGGGTCTTACTTTTAGGAACAAATTGCAAACGAGTTACTCAAGAAGGAGTATGATTTGGCAGATCATTACATTGGCAAGTGTATCTTATGGACATGCCGAATTGAGCAATTCAAGAGGAGACGTGCTGAGTGGATTGAACGAGAAAAGGGCTTGGAGAAACGGAAAAAGATGTTTGAAGATATTATTGACACCGATGAGAGATCCTCCAAGAAACACAAATCCAAGGCATAGATTTTCTTTTTACTCGCATACATGTTTATTCTACTATTCATCCTATACTCGATCAATCATCATCCAATAAAAATGTATAAACAGCAAAACTTGGGTATATTAAGAGTATTCCTCAGCTGCTTGATCACTTGAGAAGACTAGTTATTGTTCATATGAGTTTTGGGAGGGGGCTGAAAATGATCCTGTGATGCCATAAAACTTACCTATGTTGTTTCAAAAGCATGCATTCACCACCTTTTTCTAGATCGATGCTGTATTCGTAGAGATATCCTTCTGAAGTCACGAGCATCACCTGAGGCATAGTACTTTTTTGGGGTACATAAGTCATTTCATCCACGCTCGTAAGCAATTTCCCATTTACCTGCTCAAGGCAACCAAGCTTCGTACACCAGTATTAGGTAGTTTGAGGGATGCAAAATCACGTAGTGGTTCCCACATGCCGGTGATCATGTGTGGCAGGATGGATCCGATGTTCCGACCGAGATGTTTTGAAGAGCGTCTCAACTTGTTGCCCACGCCAGCTTTTGTTTCCTCCGCATCAGCGTCCTCTTCAGAAGCAGGAATTCTGAAAATATGCACCGTCTCCGTGTCACTTGATACGCATAGCAACGTGCTTGCAAGATTGAATGAAATGGAATAAATACTGGCAGGATACGATCCACGTCTGAATTCAAACACTTTGTTGGCATCTGGTAAAGAAAACATGCGAATGACCGTTCCCTACATACATGCATGTGTGTGTGTTAGTCTATTGAGCCATCCATGTGAATATGTATTTACCTTTTCACTCGCTGTTGCCAAGAGAGTTGCATCAGCATTCATAGCAAGGCAGCTGATAGGTGATTTATGAGCGGGGATAATCTTGATAAGTTGCATATTGACGGCATCAAATATCTCCACATCGCCTGAAATGTCATTGTGTTTGGGTGTTGGTGGTGGTGATACGGGTTGTCCAAAGGGTGCCAAAGGGCTTGATGCCACGGAGGGTTGTGCTGGATACGCAATCAAGCAATTTTCAGGTGACGATGTAAGTGCACAGGCGCCTAATAATAAAGATGATAGGTTACTAAATAGGTGCTGTTGACCATGCACAAATGACCCGTTCCTACCTTTTGGATTGGGAACCGTCTCAAAGCTGTGCAGCAGTTTCATGTTGCGAATGTCGTACAGGAAGATTTGACGTTCGAGCACCACAATCATCCTACGCCGATTCATCTTGACAGCCAACACCGGCTCTGGAAACTTTAGCTCGCAAATAGAGGAATTATTCTATATCCAAGAGATGAGTACGTGCGTATCCCTCATCATACATTGTTTACACGCTCTTCTACCTTGGTATTGATAATGTGAAGATCCCTCGAGTTGAATTCAGGGCACGTTCCCACACCTACTAACGCTACAAGGGATGTAGAAAACAGCATTTCCGCGATACTGGTCCCAGCGTTCCCTGTTGGAGGGTTTAGAAGAGTGAGCAACTAGTTAAGTGACACGCGACAAAAGAGTGCGTAGTGCTTGCCTTGTGAATGGCATTGACCAAAGGGATCGCAATTGTACATTTGGTAACCAGATGTGGTTCCCACGGAGACACAGCTGTAGTCTTGGTTAAAGTTGAAGAATAAGACTTTGTCGTTTTCAGGCTCGTTGGGTGAAATCATTGGATCACAAAGGTAAAAAAGTGGGGAAAAGAGAAAGAAAGGTTGCTTAGTATTGTAAACAAGTTGTAGAGTACCAAGTCCAATTGCATCTCTGTGACACCAAACCTTGCATGATGGGCGTAACCATGTGGCACACACACACACCTCCACAACACATACACAAGTAACGATAGATTATATACATTTTATATTGGATTGGGCATTACTATCTCTTCTAAATCATGATCTTTTCTTGGCCTTCCTTGATAGCCTTTTCTTCCAACTCCAAAGCTAACTTGGTCCATGGCTTTTGCTCGACTTGTTCAATAGCAGCTTGAAGTTGTGATCGTGCCTGGCGTTCAGCCTCTTCTTGTTGAGCTCGGATTTCATAGAATTCGGATGTGGCCTTTGCATAAGCTTGTCTTTCAGTCATTCCCTTTTCAGTCATAAGATGCAACTGATACTTGATGACACTACATATCATCATGCACAAACATTTAGCTATTCACTCGTAACATAATAAATCACATGATCAAAAGACAAACTTACGTCTCACCAGTGACTTCCTCGGGAAGCATATCGGGTAACATGAGTTGACTATAATCGGTGCGGTTGAGACCCAATCTGTTTTCGACAAGAACTTGTGGACGAGCGAGTTCGAATGGATGATCCTTGTAGAATTGACGTCTCAATCTATCTTCAGGATACACAATAGGAGCAGGTCGTGGAGGACGAGTGCGAAGATGCTTTTGTTTGTGTCGTGTGGTGCTCTTTTGGGTGTTGCTTTGGGTGTTGGAGAAAAGTTGCTTTTCAATGTCGGTTTGTGCAGACAAGTTGGCATTGGGGTTTCGCGATCGAATGATGGAAGGACCAGGTGGAATGGCACGTACGGCATGGAGCCACACAGGGGCCTTCTTCAAGAGGTTGCCCTTGAGCAAATTGGTTGCATGTTGCTCTAACTTTGTTGGTGCTGCTCGATAGGCCATATCGTCGTTGTCAAGAGAAAGAAACACCACCGACCAGGGCAACAACGGTTCATGTCAAATCTCAGCCACCCGATTCACTTTCCTCCCTCCCAACCACCACAACGATCATCCCATCATCCCATCATCATATCAACATATGGCCACTAGTAGCAATAGACAATAAACAATATCATACAAGCTTTTTTTATAGATGATGTCTTCCGAAAGTCTTGTTGTAGTCTTTTTGAGATTGGATGAGTGTCGAATCATGCCACATTTGACAATTCAATAGCCCTTTCAACCCCATTTTATGTGATAGTGTATCATTGTAGGAATGTAGGGACGTATCAGCATGCTCAAAGGGAGGAGTATGTATGCGTGTGTGTGTGTGTGTGTGTGTGTGTGTGTGTGTGTGTGAAGGGATTCATCTATGAGATAGGTTCAAAGTGGAAGGCCACTTGGCATGTCTCTCAGCTACAACGAAGCGAGTCTAATTGTATTCTATTGTATACAGCTGTTGCTATGGATATGATGTATTGTTGAATGAAGATTTTATATATGTACAAGACCTAGCAACCTGAGCACGACGAGCTGATTTGCCGAGACTGCTCTGGATGTCAAACTCACACAGCCCGCACAAAGACCAAAATTTTCGCTTTCGGCACGGCTTTCCACTTGACACACACCTATCGATCAGCAATGGCCAAGGACAAGAAAGACAAAAAGATCAAAAAGGACAAGATGGACGTTGACTCCAAGGAAGACGATGTCCTTCGTTTCACTTCGCCCATCGCTCACCCCATGGCTGACGACAAGCTCAACAAGAAGATCTTCAAGACTGTCAAGAAAGGTTTGCATGGCGACATTGTAGGGATCGATCTTGGAGATATTAACTTTCTATATAGCTAGCAAAGTGAAGCATGTTCGTCGAGGTGTCAAGGAAGTTAGCAAGGCTATCCGTAAGGGTGAAAAGGGTCTCGTCGTTATTGCTGGTGATATCTCTCCTCTTGATGTCATCTCCCACTTGCCTGTTCTCTGTGAGGATAACGATGTCCCTTATATCTTCGTTCCCTCCAAGGAAAAGCTCGGCGAAGCCAGTGCTACCAAGCGCCCCACATCCGTTAGCATGGTTGTCCTCGGTGGTAAGAACAAGGATGATAAGGCTGCAGAGGATTACAAGGAATTGTATGAAGAATGCACATCCCAAACCAAGAAGCTGGTAAGTACAAAGAGCCTCTTTGCATAATGAACAATGATGCTAACGTACAATCCATTGTTTAGTTCGAGCAGCTTGTGTATTAAATCAAACACGATCCATTCAAGCTCCCATTTCTGAAAAGTTCAAACATCCTGCATAGTCCCACACCACCTCCCTTGCATTACGTTGTACAGTGATTTACGTTTAGAACGTGACAAACAAGATGATGTTTTCATTCTGTGTATATTGGACTGGTCTGCAATGTCATGAAAGGCTTCGATGCTGATGCCTTCTTATATATCAATTGTTGTTTGCTTCTTTTTATATGTGCTTGAGAATGAGACAACCATGCTCAATGGATGCAGCACATAGTGACGCTGATGTACTATCTTTCCACATGGCATCGAGGAGTATGTGCTTGATCAATGGTCGATAACTGCAGCCCAAAATCGGATACGTTCACCGCCAAATGGGGGATGAGCAATTGAAAAGACCACGCCAGCAAATAGTCATCGAGGCAGATTGGTAGCGCAACTATGTATTGGGTGAGAAACCGAAATAGCCATATAAAAGTTCCCACTTGGATATGGATGCCATACAATAAAGCATGGTTGTCATGTGACATTCGGCAATCAAAAGAAATCAAGGATCGAAGTTATTTGGCAACCATCGCATGGACTTTGAGGATCACCTGGATCACGAAATAGCATCGCTGCTGCTTCCATATAACAAAGTCTAAACCAAAGATGAGACGCAAAGTGGCCATTTTACCTATTTCCGGTTAAAACGTACCTTCCTACAAAGTCCATTTGCACATTACAACGGAGCAAAGTGATACAGGATATGCTCAAATTCAACTTTTATGTATCTGAAGGATAGCTACAAGTAGCTAATTAGAGTATCCACAATAGTGACGTGAGGAGCATGTACCAAATGAGCCATGTAAGCCTCTAGTCACATGCATGTATGATGACAATAGTCATTATTAAAGGTGGTACGTGGAGCTTGGATTAAGATACTTGGTGAGTAAAAGAGTAGTGAGCGGGGAACATTGGCCGGCTATCGGTTATGCAGACACCGCCATCTACGTTACACGCTTCCCACATGTGTTTTTTATCAATCCAATGATTGTGCCATTGTGCTGGATATGGATGTTAAGGTATAACAAAACATACATATCGCGTATAAATACCAAGATGTGTGCATGCTTTATTGACGATGATCACGACAAACCATGTCACCCATATTGTCGCGTGGTTTCTATCACCGCCCTAATACCCGGTACCACCCACACATCTCGCCATTGTTCGCCGAATGTAAACCAATCATCACCCATTACTGCCATGGCGTTTGAATTGAGAACAACAACACCTATCAATAGCTATGGAGGAATTGCACGTTTACATGATGTGAGCGCATAGACCATCATAACAACGATGACTTGCTATATATATTGTTGCTTTCAAAGAGCCATTTATTGATTCGATTGGCGTTGTACGCGATGTAGTCCCCTGGTTAGCTTCCCTCGGGTGATGTTGTTTTTCTATCGGGGACTCAAACGCGCATTCTGGTGATCGAGATCAAGATCCCGAATCTGATAAAGGGAAAGCGCAAAGTTTGGTAAACCATCTGATAAACGCTATGCATGGTTACATGCACAGTGTTACTTTGATTTGTTACACACACACCATAGGTCGTGAATTCAACTTTTGGCTGTAGCACATTGAGACGTGGCTCGGCCGCGCTATTGTCAACAAGATCAGGTTTGAGCATTCGGTCACAGACACTCCTCCCTAAGCTTGCTATCACTTTTTAATAAAGATCGATGATAACAAGTGCTATATAGAATACTACGTTGGATCGATATCAGCATTGAAACGAGATGACGAGCTTGCATTCAGCAAAAAGAAAAAGAAGACGTAGCCATCAAGGGACACACAAGATCAAATTTCAGAAAGCCGTCATGTCGCATCTTGTTGTACCACCTCGAATGATGATAAACATATATATGGGTGGTCATTCCTTAAGTTGCTCTTTCCTTTCTTCTGGTTGCTAGCAATGGGAGCGCTTTCAGGGTTACGTTCCGCCATCAGAAGGTCGTCGACCGACAAGGAGGATGCTTCAATGCCTGAAAAAAGCAGAAAAGAACTCGATACAGAAAGCGTCGTTCCTTCGGTCAATGATGAATCACAACCAGAACAACTCGCTACGGATGCCCAACGTGGTGTTCAAGATGTTGAAGCAGTGACCTTGACTTGGTCAAAGCCCACGCTGATTGCAGTGTTTATCAAGTACGTTATTGTATTCCCTACCTATTAACATTGACGGATGACCTAACATGTTTTCCTTATCATAGCATTTGGTTACTTTATTTTGTTAATGCCTTCCAAAGTTCGATTCTCTTCAATTTGATCCCTTATGTCACGAGCGACTTTCAATCCCACTCGCTTGTCAACGTCATTTACATTGTTGCTAATGCTATCTCAGCAGCGGTATACATTCCACTGGCAAAAGTTTTGGATATCTTTGGTCGTGCTGAAGGCTTCTTGATTATGGCCACTTTTGCTACCTTGGGGCTGGTCCTCATGGCGGCATGTCATAATCTTCCTACTTTTTGTGCTGCTTATGTAAGTGATTACTACGTTAACATACATTCAAGTTCTAATACTGGCATGCTAGGTATTCTACTCTTTAGGCTTTGGCGGTATGACTTTTTCGGTGGATGTCATCACGGCCGATTCTTCCAAACTAAGAAATCGTGGTTTGGCATACGCATTTACATCGTCTCCTTACATCATCACTGCATTTGCTGGTGCCAAAGCAGCCGAAGGTTTTTACTACGATATCAGCTGGCGATGGGGCTTTGGCACTTTTGCAATCGTTTTCCCTGTTGTGGCTGCTCCCTTGTATCTCATTCTCAAATTCAACTTGCGCAAGGCCGAAAAGCAAGGCGTTTTGAACAAACAATCCAACGATCGTTCGATTTTCCAACGCATTTGGCATGTCATCACTGAATTCGATAGTAAGCAATCATACCCATCCTTATATGAAAACGAGAAAAATTAACATTGTGTATCATAGTTATGGGTGTTTTCATGTTCTCGGCTGGTCTTGTAGTGTTCCTTCTTCCATTCAACATTGCCGATAGCGCTCCCAATGGTTGGGCGACTGCCTATATCATAGCCATGATCGTTGTCGGCTTTGTGATGCTTATTCTCTTTATCTTGTTCGAGACATTCATTGCTCCCGTTCCATTGTTCAACTTTGCTCTGCTTTCGGATCGCACAGTGATTGGTGCATGTTTGTTGAACGCTACATACCAGCTCGCTTATTATTGTTGGTACAACTACTTTACATCCTTCTTGCAAGTGGTCAACGACTTGACGTTGGCTGAAGCTGGATACGTCGGCAATACCTTTGATGTCGTTTCAGGTGTCCTTTTGTTGTGCGTTGGTTTCATCATCCGCAAAACTGGTCGCTTCAAATGGTTGCTCTATATTGCTGTGCCGTTGTACATCTTCGCTCAAGGCTTAATGATCTATTTCCGCCGCCCAAATCAATCCGTTGGTTACCTTGTCATGTGTCAAGTTTTCATCTCTATTGGTGGAAGCATGTTTATCATTATTGAACAGCTTGCCATCTTGGCTGCCGTCGACCATCAACACGTTGCCGCTGTCCTTGGTCTGCAATACGTTGTTGGCACAGTCGCTGATGCTATGGGTGCTACCATTTGCGGTGCCATTTGGACCAACACATTTAAACCCGCTCTCGTGCAATACCTTCCAGAAGCCGATCTCGAAAACTTGGATGCTATCTACGAGGACTTGGATACCCAATTAAGCTACGAAGTTGGAACCCCAACACGATTGGCCATTCAAGAAGCATATGGTTATGCTCAGACTAGAATGCTTGCTGTTGGAACAGGCATTATGGGTTTAGCATTTATTTGGACCTTCATGATCAGAAACATTGATCTAAGAAAGGTTGAACAAGTCAAGGGCACAGTCTTTTAACCTGGCATCCTTTTATTGCTATCACTATAATATAGACATACATATCTACCTTTGTTATTGCCTACTAAATCAATAATACTCTGGCAAGTAGAATTATATAAATATGCACCATACCTCCCAGTTGCTTGCTTCACTCGTAAATCTCGAATTTTTGTTGAATGGCTTCATCACTAACTTTTTAGAGGCAGGAGTAATCTGGTAATAAGGAAGAAGCGATTTCACGCCTCACGCTTCATGCACTTTCACACAAAACACTTCAGTACCCGTTGTCCATTTTTAGTTTATTGACCATGCCATGGTTAGCTTGAAAAAGGCTCCATATGGGCTATCATAGACGGACCTTGCTATAGACAGGGAGGGAAAGGATCCTTCATGCACTCTCCGCCAATAGGATTACCAGCCCTCTTGCTTTGTGTCACAAACAAGTCCTTCTGTATCTTTGCTCTAATATGAGTTAGGCGATTGACGATGAACAAAAACCACCTCTCATATAACATCACGCTTACAGCATATGCAAAACATAAAGGTGCCTGTATCTCTAAACTTTACAATGAAACGTGGGGTTTTTATTAGAGCAATGTGCTCGGCTTGGCCAACTGCACCTTGGGTGCCAGTTTCACGATCAAGCTTGCCAATCCCAGATTTCGCAATGTCGCCACCAGCCAAACTGGATCTGGGGGTCGACCTCTTCGACGACGACGACGACCAAAAAAAACACTTTTTGGGCTAGTTGCGACATTGAACGTGAAACTTTCACACAAGGTGCTGTTGGCCAAGCCGAGCCCATTGCTCTATTCAAAACCTCACGTTTCATTGTAAAGTTTGGAGATACAGGCACCTTTATGTTTGTAAGCGTGATGCCATATGAAGAGTGGTCTTTGTTCATTGTCAAGTAGGTGGACCCTGGCAGAGCAAAAGATGCGGAGGGTCGTGTTGTGTAACACAGCTACGTTTGCATGAATGAAAGGGTCAATGTATAATTACTTTATGGATCATCTAAGAACAGGCATGTATTGCTAGCTAACGGCCACTTTTATCCAACCATCATTGTTGCGAGATCCACTGCATGTGAACGATTCTCCTGCTCCAGCCGAGCATTTCCATCATTCAAGTTTCTTGATCCGAGCCAATTTGACTGAGCTACGCTGAAACAGAAAACATGAAAATTAATGAATCGCAGACCCTGCGAATGTCTCCGTCTTTCAAACTTTTGGACGCTCCCATTCCAAATTTTCAAATGAAGTATGAAGTCTTTATTAGCAAAATGTTGAATAGCATGCTCAGAGCACCCTTCTGACCAATTTTCAAGTTGGAGGTGGCCAGCTTCGGGGCGGTGGGCCGTCCGCTCTTTTGTTCCCCACATCCACCATTTGGGCCGCCCCGCATTTTAAATCTTCATGATGAAGTCTGCGACTTTTAAATGAATGAAGTTGATCAGCATGTTGCAGCGAACCTTCTGACAAAGTTTCAGGTTCGAAATGGGGAATCCCAAGGTAATGCATACTATTTGCATAAAACATGAATCTGGCGCTGACCTCCATTTCCGACTTACGTTGTAAACCCACATGATACCCTCCCATTCCAAATTTTCAAATGAAACATGAGGTCTTTTTTAGATCAACGTGATCAGCATGTCCAAGAGCATCTTGTGTGAAAGTTTGTAGTTTGAGATGGGAAATCTCAGTATCAAGTTTTGATGCCTACAGTGTACATGCATTTATACAAGAGGTATCCGATCTATATGATTTCCACTTCTTTCACTCAACTTCTTCCCTCTTCCTCCCAATCTCAACTGTTGCTCATTCAAGTACATACAACTATCACCTGCGAACGATTGTTCTGCTTCAACCCACCAGGTCAACCCTACAACTCTCTTGATCCGATTGTCTTTGACTGAATGGGCAAGTCCATGCCGTGTACACCCCACTACAACACCCGCGTTTCTTGACACTTCACCTTCTCTTGTACATTCGCCTACCACGATCAATCGTAGCAGCATTCATTGCAAGGCCTTTACTCCATTGTCTCAAGCAGCATTCTTTATTTGCAGCAACTCGCCTTTCAGCCTTTTCATGTGAACAGCAGATAGCCATCATATAGAAGCAGCTTTATTTACGTGTAGCAACTTGCCTAAATACATACGACTTCTTATGGATATGGATATGGATCTCAAGGTTGATTTGATACATGGGATGGAAGGAATGAATCGATTGGCCGGTTTGGTTCGCTTGGTCCACTTAAGCTAAGTGATGTCTAGTTTGGCTGACACCACAACTACGTCGCAATGCAAGCAAGTTTCAGCTGCTGATTGAGCTGCGATGGAAAGTGACCCACAAGAGAGGGACCAAGGGCTGATGGGAAAGGAAACATGTCGGCAGCATTCTCTGGGGCTTCTTCCTATTAACGTATTGGATTTGGAGTGGTTATGATGGATGGGTTAAACCGATGCAATGATGAGTGATCACTTGTGGGGTTGTCAGCAGGAAGGATGGATCATATCACGTGTACACGGCTGATGATGATGATGATGATGATGGATTGGATCGAATTGACGGAAGGTGTTGTACACACATGGATGATGATATTGGAGTATTCAATTCAATGCATGCACCAACTATTTTGCAATCACAAATGAAGGATGGCTATCACGGCAATTACCTAGAATACAATGATGTATGATTCACCTGTATCTTATTCAATTTGCAATGTCGTCCCTTATCACATCTTCTTGATAAACATCCACCCTACCATGCTTTTCATTGAATGTATTCAACACAATGTCTGGGGTATCGTACTATCAGCTCATGTGTGCAAGACGTGGACCCTTTAGTTGTTTGTGGAGTGAAAGATGGATTGGGAATTTAAAGGTCGAATCATTTACGTAGAAGCCGTCATTTCACCCTCATCCGGGAGCGGGAACATTCACGCTTCTATGATGCGACAATGAAGATGCCAGCGACTTCTCTTTATGAAAGGAAGATTTTACATAGATATCCCTGAACAACGTCTTACTTCATAGAACGTGAGCATAGCAAGTCGTTTGGTGATGTCCATTGTTGGGGGATGATGGAGATCGCCACCTTATCTATCAATGATCCTGGTTTATTCATGCACACTCGATCAGGCCAAGGAGGGTGTGGGTGACCAACGCAACGGGGTATCCACGTACGTTTCCAAGACCAATCGCAAACGTTCTCGGATTCATAGCAACAACAACAATACGCGCGATTCGAACACGACTCGAGTTCCATGGCAACAGAGCAACTACCGTTTCAGATCAAACGTCGAGATCCTGAAAAGCTGTTACCTGCTTCCGCTTACATCTCTTATCTGGACCCATCGTCGTGACAATCCATTTCAAAAGCTTTCTGCCGATCAATCAACATCCACCACTCACGATCAAACACCCAATCGTCTAACAACACAATCACCATAGGCGCTTTTTGCAACACACCATATATGCACATAGGAAGAATAGAGCTGTTATTATAAGACAATCTCTTTTATCGATAATAAAACTAAACTAGCTAGCATGTGGCTGTTGGTTTCCTTGAGCCAAAGCTCCAAGTACTGACAGAGATGACCGCGCGAAGGTCGCCACACATCCATCTCGCCCATACTGCAACACCAACAACAGAACAACCAGAGCACACCTTACCCAATGCCTACAAGTGCACCAACAATTGGCAGTGCCATCCAACATCAAAGATCCCATATCATGGCTACTCAATCAACTCCCGACATCAAAGCCCAAATCATCGGAGAGATGCCAATACTGGATAAAACAATGGCCACTACTTTGTACGCTATTACAACAAATGGACAACATACAACACAATACCATCCAACAACACGACAACACACAACAATCACACGGCCAATCCCTCATCCAATGGCTCGAAAAGGATACATCAACAGGAGATCATCATGGATCCCAAACATCTGCTACCTCGTAGAACCCATTTTCCTTCTCTTCTTTGCTTTTTGTTTTCTCTCTTTTCCTTTCTTCCACTCCTCCTATGTAGCTCTTTTCCTCCACATCCTCCATTTAGGATAGCCTAGCCCCACAGAACCTTTGTAAACACCCCATCCACGATTGAAACTTGTTGATCCCCACATACCTTAACATAGTAACCCCCACATCATACATCTTTATCCACCACCTTTTTCCTGTTGCACAGCAGGTTTTTTAGCACACTAGCACTCTGGATCGGGCGAGGGCAATAGCTGATATCAGCACGTGCTCATTTCGTCGCCATAATAAACTTGTCTTGAAACACATCCATCTCCTCCTCTTCACAAGGGGCACCTTCGACAAGTATCATAGAGGAGATTGCAAACAGCGAACCGCTTACAACCAAAAGAGTTTACACCAAACAGCCACCATTCCCATCCAAGGAAGCCTACGGCTGGAGACTGAGGTAGGGTACCAACATATCCACAACAGGGGACAGTGAGCCTGCGAGGACAAGACGAAAAGGGACGACTGCGGATTCTCGTGCTCTTTTTATTTCTTTTAAGCGGCGTTTGAACAACATGCTCGGTTATGACGTCCTTGTTCCCTTGATTGGACGACGGTAACCAACCTCTCCACATCCTTACATTCTCCCTTAAACTATGTTGACCCTTCTAATGCAGTGATACTACTTTTACCCCGTGCAATAATATCTTATCAAGACCTCGTTGCGTGTACCTAGTCAGCCTCTTTGTGTGTTTTGGATATTGGGTGACGAGGAGATTGACGACTGCTGACGAGTACGAGTACGAGTACGAACGATGACGGTGGACGAAGACGACGATGGGTGGCAATATAGCAAGATAGCTAGATGAAATAAAGCATTGTTTATGTATTTATTACCCGCTTGGACTTTGCTAGCTTGTGGATTATTGCATACTACTGCTTCGAAGATGGGATAATAAAGGTGGTCCGGTTATCGGTCATGCAAGAAGTACATGACTTTTGTGATACAATACGGAGGAATGGGATAACCTGGAGAAGAGAAAAAGTGAAGTGATCACTCATTGAGTTTCACGATGAGTGACCCATCATTGAATTGATTACTGCTGGGTTTACATATACAAATTGGTTTATGCAGCTCGACCGTCTCCTACATGCAGATGTAATATACACATACACGATACACCTTCATGGTTGGATGTTGTTTTACTTACATATCGTCGCAAAAGGCAATCATCATCATCATCCAGTGGAGGTAACAACAACAAAGCAAGCAGCTGCAAAATTAAGGTTCATTGTGAGCGTTGCGCAAAAATCAACAAGCATGTGCTTCGTATGAATCAAGTTTTATTTGTGCCAACCATAGTGGTGCCACTTGTATCGCGTTGTTCTTTTTTCTTCTTTCCTTTTTTCGCTTCCTTTCTTATTTCTTGATGACCAGTCGTCCTATTCAAGCGGTTATCTTTAACAATCCTGGCTCAGACGTAGTGGAAGCATCATCCAGTTACCACCATCATGTGTATGACACCATCAATAAGGGAGGAGTAGATGGGCTCGAATTCTATACATCACCATACAATGAACCTTATCGGCGTTCCCCGTCCTCGTATATACCACCACCGCCACCATCGCCTCCTTCATCGTCTGCCAATATCGACTCGTCGTTTTGGAGTGCATTTGGTACAGGTGGGTTTGCTGATGAGCCACCTTTATGCGAAGAATTGGGTATTAACTTTGATCATATCATTGCCAAGGTAAGAGCAACAAGTGTCACGTAAGATTTGGTAAACGTATTTTAATGATTGAGGATAAGAGTCTAGTAGTATTAAATCCGATACAACGAAAACTACCACCGGGATTAGTCAATGATGGGGATATGGCAGGACCATTGTTGTACCTCTTTGTGCTTGGTATATCACTCATGCTGTCGGGCAAGATGCATTTCGGCTATATTTATGGCGTTGGCGTGTTGGGTGTCTTGACGATCATGTTACTTTTCAATCTGATGAGCGACAAGGGAATTGATGGATCTCGTACAGCTAGCGTGCTTGGATACTGTTTATTGCCTATGGTGCTCCTCAGTGCATATACCATCATTTTTCCACTTACCGGCTTGTTAGGTTTCTTCTTAACGATGCTTGCCATTGTTTGGTGCACACACACAAGTTCGGATATGTTCATTGCCATGTTGTATATGGAGGATCAACGTTTCCTAGTCATGTATCCAATAGCTCTCTTTTACGCAAGTTTCGCACTGATGACTGTTTATTAAGGAACAACAAGAATACAACGTTCATGAATAGCTTATTAAAAAGGGTTGCAGATGGATTTTTATTGCTTTGTTATGATAAGGTATGCAAAGAAAGGAGAGCATGGATGGGGGAATGATACTATGTTCAAGTAATGGAAAGATTTAAAAAGGAATTAAGGAAATGCGAGATCATCGAATGAGAGTCCTTCACCATGGGGTTTGGATCGTAATGCTTCAATGTCGATCAAGTTTTCACGTTCAGCGTAAAGCGACTTGTAGGCTGATTTGATGGTAACCTCGGAAACACCAGCGACATGAGCAATATCACGAGTCGATTTTGGAGTGCGGAAGAGATACGAGACCAAGTAGATGCATGCCGCAGCAACTGAGATGGGAGACTTGCCAGCAAGTGTACCGAGCTCCTTTGCACGACGCACAAGATCCACACCAGCCTTTTGCACATAATTGGGTAGTTGTAAATTGGAGCAGAAACGAGACATGAGATCCTCAGAGTTCATAATGGTCGTGTTGGTCTGTAACTTGGCTTGCAGAGACTTGTAGCATCGACCAATGTCCTTCTTGGGCACTCGTGTCAAGGCACAGATTTCCTTGAATGTACGTCCCACCTTTTCTTGTCGACAAGCAATGAAGATACAGGCAGCAATGATAGCATCACTTGATTTGCCACGCAATAGCTTCTCATCCTCCACACGCTTATAAAGTTGCTTGGCCGTATCACTGACAATCTTGGATAAAGAAATGGAATCACACATGGCACTGATCTCCTTGTAAGCCTGGACTAGATTGCGTTCACCCTTGACAGCTGTTGCACGACCATGCACCTTGTTGAGATCTTTGGCTGCACCTGTGCCGCCATCCCTCCTCGAAATAACTGTATCCAGCTGGTTGCCATCTAGTAATGGATTCGCAGCAGCACCCACACGAGATGGATCCTATATATCATCATCATAACCCATCAGCCCCCATTCAACAATAGACAAACAACACACAACCCCCATATCCATCATCACCACCATAACCCCACTCTCAACATACATCGCCTTCGTCATTGGCAAATGTACGCCATTCTGATCTTGTGTCAATGATCCGATCGCCCAATACGAGACCGCAGTCGCCACAAACAAGGTCGCCAGATGCAAACTCTTCCACGATGTGTGGGGGCGACACTCGACAATCAGGACATGTGAGTCTCACGTTGAGATTGGGTTGGAATTGCTGTGGTGTTTGTTCTTTTTGTTGTGGTTCTCGTAGTGGGAAGGGAATATTGGCTGCCATGATTGGAATCCTTTTGTAAATGTACAAGAAAGAGAGAAGAGAGAGTGTGTGCGTATGTGCGTGGATGTGCAAATGTGAAGGGGAGAGGAAAGAAACCTAGAGAATTAATTATCCAAGAGCTGCCACTTTCTTATTCGTTCACCGCCATTGCTGCTCCAGGATGAAACCATCATCATCATTGGTCTCTTCTGCTGCGGCATCTGCTGCGGCATAGATCCACTCCAATGATCCTATTTGTAATGGTTGATCTCTTGTGGGTCGAGATGCTCTTCTTCTTTCTTGTAGTGCATGGTGCGCTTCTCTCAATCTATCAGCATGAAACCTTGCACATTGTGTTGAGCAATAACGGGTTTCCCTTGCTACTAATGGATGTCCTCGATATCGCTTTACTTGTACGCGATTCACCCATTCTTGTATAAATGGTCCCTGGCATCCCGCGCACCTTCCAATTTGCTCTTCTGATGATAATAAAGATGAAACATGTTCAGGCAACGTATCAACCGCATTTGACCTTGTCATTTGACGTAGAGCTAGCTCATGCAATGAATTGATCAATGGCTGTTGTTCTACCAAGCCATCACTTTGAGTCTTTGATAAATGTGGTGATGAGGATGATACGTGTGCATTGGTCTCGTTGATGGGTGTTGTTGATGACACTGATGGTGTAGGGTCATCACTACTACTGACGGCCACGGGATTGCCTGTGAAAAGGACATGAAGACTAGGTTTTTCGAGCAACCCCATTGGGAAGACGTTGATCTGATTATCCGAAACATTGAGTAGCTCCAAGGAATACAAATCATTGAGTGATTCAGGTAATACTGTTAGCCGATTTTGTGCTAAATTCAATGTTTTTAGTGGATGATGGTGCTGCTGTTGCATAATAAGATCATTTGGAAGCTCTTGGAGCTGGTTGTAGGATACATCAAGGTGCTGCAATCGTGGTGGTAGATATAAAAAGCGATCCAATCGATTATGAGCAACCTCTAATTCTTCCAGGGCTACCATATGAATCAAGGTATCAGGTAATTCCACCAGCTGATTGCTGTTCCCAGATTCAGATCCCAGTCTCAAATGTCGCATTTTCATAGCCCATGCGCTGCCTATGGTATTGGGTAGTGACTCGATTCGGTTCCCATCCAGGCACAAGCGGGTTAAATTTGGTAATGATGGCGGAAAGTGTGCTGGTACATCACGTATCTCATTCTCTGATAGGTCTAGTTCTTGCAGCTGCCGCATATGATAAAGGACCATAGGAAGAGAACCTAATTGGTTACCCGAAGCAACCAGCACCTTAAGGTGTGGCATTTGTAACAAGACCTGTGGCAGATTGTATAGCAAGTTGCGTGACAAATTCAGCTCCACCAAATGTTCAAGTGGGGATGAATATCCATTGAGTATATCCACAAGACCATCCATATCCAAACCACGTCTTCGTAAGAATAGCGATGTTTCTTGTTCTGGTAATGTTGATGATGAGACTTGTCTTGTTGATGACAAACAAGGTGATGATCTTGGGGATATGCCTGGTGACCGGATGATGCTGGATGATGATGCTGTTGTGGTGGTACCGGGATATTGAGTAAAGAAAGATGCGCTAATACCTCCAAGCCAATCGATAGTTGAGGAAGCATCAGGTTCGAAAATTGAAGCGTGGGGTGATGAAATGGATTCTTCATTGTCTTGGGTATCGTAGGTTGGAAGTACAACACCAACCAAGGTGCGTCCACCGGAAAGATAGGAAACAGCCATTATTGTCGAATGGAATAAATCAAAGCCTTAGATGTGGTGGGTGGGTGTTGAAAGGAAATGAAGTGGAATGAAAAAGAGAGAAAGCAAACCAGGAACCATGATCTGATAAAAAAGCAAAGGTAACAGTGCTATTGGATCACCCCCATTGAGCATGCCTTGCAGCAACAGCCCACCAACGACGGTGCATTATCTGATTTTGTTATTATTATCGGAGACATTTTCATGACAACGCGTGGCATAAACAATGAAGCATGCTATTTTGTTGTCCTAACCGCACCGGGGATGTTTAACGAGCCGTGATGTGTTATTCTTAAAGCGACGGATCTTGATCGCCATTTGAGTTGACAACATTGCATGCCTCAAAGATTGGTTCCTCTTCGTCTCAAAGAAGGTCAAGGCTTCATCAAATAAATAGTCAACGTGTATGTTTTGCGAACACTGTATGTTAGCATTTCCTTAAGGCAGCTACGTTTTCCGATGTGTAGCTTAAAAGGAAGGGCTATCAAGGCGTCAAGTGGTATCATCGATAGGGTATATCCACCACGCCAATCTGCCATTGGATTGTAAGTCCCCAGCTCTCAGTTACGGCCAACTAGCAAAAGTCAGTGCGTCAAAAAAGGCAAATCAAGATCAAGTCGTTGAAAAACGACCCCCTTTATCTTCAAAGACCATAAAAAGGCATGTCAAAGCAAAGGTATGCAATAATTTTCATCCTCATTGAGAGTTCCCAACTACTACATAAACGCTGACATTGTATTTGAGACGATGAGACCTACTCTTCTTTATAGATGCAGTATGCAACAATGACCATCCTTCCTTTTTCACTAACCAGCACCGCAATTATGAGGATCTTTGAAATGCACGAATGCGGGTAGACACACCAAAAGAGCGTGCAAGCATTGATTGTGTGCATGGAACTCATTGTAGATACAAAGGATGATCGTTACCCCATAAAAAAATCAACCTGGTCACTCGAGGCAGTGGTATTATAGGTACGTTGAAATTGCTTGAATCAACGCAAGCAGGGATACTCTATGTATTGCCATCCGAAAGATGTGTGCAATGAAATAAAAGGACCCTTGACGTAATGAAGTACTCTAGTGTGCCACGTGCAATGTATAGCAGCGTATAAAGATCCTGGTACAAACATCGGCTAGAAGATGGCAGATCGGGTGCTTTTTTGGGAGTGGCAACTCGTGCTATGGAATAATGATGCATATGGCGATGTGGTTGATGTCAATGATCAGCGATGTATTTGATTATTGAATCATGCGTACAGCAAAATGGGTCTTGCTTTAAGCATGTGAGCCAATCAACAGATAATGTAATAAGACTACTTGACAAAACACGATGGTACCCAGGTCAAGCTATTACCAACGCATGTTTGTGCCAAGAGAGGATCCCGCGTGGTTTAAGCTTTATAGGAAGATAATTTGCAGCGCCAACCGAGAGAGCATGGGCCATTGCCATTTTTATCCATGACCTGTCATTACACAACAAGACTTATCATATTGCGAGCAACCAAAAGATTTCCACTGAAACGTGGCAATACTAGTATCCCCAAGCGTAGAGGTAGATGGAGATGAAAGATATGCCGTTGCCAGGTGATTGTAGCAACGTATGCAGGATACACACATTACATGCACGTTGTAGTCTTGGCTGGGCTGACACATACAAAAGATAAAGGCTATTGGCATACGTAGAGTGACAATCAAGGAAAGATTGGAGACGTTGAAGGATGCAGTGTAGTAGGTCATGCTTGACTAGTTTTGTGCATCCGAAACCAATATCCCGCACAGTTACAGAAAGCAAGGGAAAGGCCATCCTCGGGTAAATGTCGTTTTCCTTTTCTTTATTCTCTCTTTCTTTCACAACTACTCCCTTTCCCGTCTCTTACTTATTATACATACTACTACACTTATAGACTGTCATTGGCAACTCTCTCTTCTCACTAATACACTAATGGCTTCATTTGCTTCGGTCAATCACCACCCTCCTTTTGCTTACGACCCAAGTTGCAAACCTACCAAGAGCATTCTCAAGCAAAAGAATCGGTTATCTCGTACTCCTTCTTCATGGCTTTCGAATATCAACTCCAAGTTGCAAACAGCTTCCTTGAACTTGTCACCCGATGGGCTTAATGAGCAGCAGCCACAACAGCAACAGCAACAACAACGACCACAAACTGAGACAGGAACATCTCGACCTCTTGGCCTCTTTCGCAAATTCATCAACAACCAGTCAAACGTAAGCGATAACAGCAGCATTGCATCGGGAGGATCGAATGAGCAACTGTCAACCACCAATGGCAGCAGCATTTTGGATATTGACGAGCTTGCGCCTGAGGAACTGAAACGGGTGCGATTCTCGGTGGGTCAACTGACAACGGAGTATTATCCTTATCGCCAACGTCAAAGTAGCAACAACAGCAGCAGCAGTAGCAGCAGTAGCGATAGCAACAATGGTTTCCATGCCACCGCGATAGGCTCAGATGATGAAGAAGCACCTAGCACGGCCTCGTCTAGCGATGCCCCTGAATTACCCGATCATGCAACAGCTGCTTTATTATCACCAGCGGGGAATAAGGAACGCCACCCATCAGCTGTATCTACAACACCATCATCAGCATCTCAAAGGAAGACACCCAAAGAAGTATTGGATTTATACGAGCATGCTTGTGCCAACAAGGAAGAAATGCCATTGCCTACATTTGTTGCCAGTATTCATGTATGTAATCATCACACCTCCGTTAAAAAAGGAGAGATACGATAACTAATATCCATCGACGTAGTCATCCCAAGATTTGTCACAGCTTACTCGGGTGGATTTTTCGGGACAAGCATTGAGTCGCAGGATGTTGGAACCATTGGCTGATGTATTGGGATATGTCCATGATTTACGTGAACTTTCGTTTGCCAATTGTGGATTGGAAGATGATGTAAGTGGAAATGACGGTGATGGTGGTGACTAAGTGACATGATGGACTTTCTTTTGACACACTGCTATACGTATAGGCGCTTAAAGTTGTGTTACACGCACTCCTGCTGAACGATACCCTGTGTCACCTTAACCTGGCTGAGAACAAGAATCTCAAGACGACCGGTTTCAAGTATATCGCTATCTATGTGAAAGGGGTAAGGATCGTTGTGGAATATGGATAATGGATAAAGGTGGCTAAATCGTGTGTAATTTTAGGCATCCAAGCTTGAACATCTCGACCTTTCCATGACTATACCCGACAAGAAAGCCATACAGTATTTGGCACAGGCTATCATTTCTCCTACATCCTCATCAGCTGCACCTTCGATCAAGACACTTTTACTCGATGGATGTGCATTGAAGCCACCTATGCTTGAAGCATTGGCATCGGGTGTACGTAAATCATCATGCCTAAGACACTTATCCCTGGTCAACTGCAAAATCAATCATCAAGGCGCCATATGGCTTGGTGTCATGCTACGTGATTATGATACGGATGATTCCGCCAATATCGGTTTGCACCAACTCAATCTTGACAACAATGAAATCCGACAAGGTGTTCAATACATTGCACAAGCCTTACGGAGAAACATAAGCCTCAACACGCTCACCATGAGAGATTGCAAGTTGGATTCAAAGGGATGTGCGTTTATTGGCGAAGCATTGGTAAGGATCATAAAACGATGGATTGATGAAGAATTTACTAATAACATCTTGTTTAAAAGAGATACAACCAGAGTTTGATGAAATTGGCTATTGGATCGAATATGCTCAATCAACCAACATCGGAAGGTGTAAGTAAATGAACCATGTACATGTAATGATGATGCCAACATGACTTTTTATTTCCAGGTGATGGCTATCAAGCAAGCGCTTTATTCCAATCGATCATTGAATGAGTTAGACTTATCGGAAACCGGATCAGGATCTGAAGGTGAGCTATATACTTTGGAGCTACTTTTCGCTACGTATGAAGAAGAGGCTCATGGTTAATCGTTTTAGCTGCTGTTGCTTTGGCTGAATGTTTGCCCGAAAATCGTACGCTTCGTCGTCTGGACCTTTCAAGAAACGTTGGTATCGATCTTGCCGGCTTGATGGCATTGTTGGCTTCGATTCGACTTAATCATACGCTTGCATTTTTGGATCTCACTGTGCCGGTAAGTATGATGGAAAGAGGATTATGCATTGCATACCAAATAGACTAATCAATTGAAGCAGCCTTATGATCGAGAAATGATTCGAATCCAAAGTGATATTGTGGCCAAATGCACAACCAATGCCCGATCACCCATGCCAACAGCAAATGACAGCGACAAGCAAAGCGTTCAGGCTAATGGCACAAGATCTATCAATGGTGATGCACGTGTAACAGCTTCAACAACAGCTCGCCTCACATTGCAGGAACGATTGGCAGCTGTGACACGAGGCAAGTCAACGTCACCTTCGACATCTAGTTCAGCCCATGCAGCAGCAGCCAAAAGCAATCCAAGTAAACAATCCACACCTCCACCCAAACCTGCACGACCTACAGCAGCAGCAAAATCGTCTCCTGTAAAAAAGAAGGCTATCGATGCAGACACCATCACTACCACAACGCATCAAATTGAATTATTTGAAGAGATGCTTGCAGCTGAAGCGAGTCAACGAGATGAAATGGTGGATACACCAAGGTCACCTGAAGAAGTAATTTTGGTACGTGTATGGATGAGCGGTATATATATAAAAGGGATGTTTACTAACGTGACCTATTCTTTTCCAGCAAGTGTTTGGTCAATGTCAGAAATCACAAGCAAAGATAAGCTCGCACATTCCTCGAGTGACGGACCCGGATCAACTTGGTAAAATTAAACATTTAAGCTGTTTTTGGTATTAGCTAACACAAGGCTTTATATTGTAGCACAACTACTAGAATTGAATGACAGGTTGACAGCTGCAATTGCACGATACCAGCGATTCTTTACCAATAGCAAGAAGGAGGAGGAGGAAGAAGCAATTCCAAAGTCGGACCATGACAACAACAACAACGATGGCAACGGCGACGGCGATGATACACCGCTAATGAGGAAGAAGGAAGAAAAGGAGGAAGAGAATAGCATGGCATCTAGTTTACTTGTTATCAAGACTGAACCCCCTTTGTCGACATCATTTGAGATTGGAGATGTGGATGATGAAGAGGATGAACTTGTGCCGATCAAGCATCCGTCGTCTCCCGCCATGACCACCTCGAATAAAAATTGATTGGCCATGATTGAAGGTGACGTTATAGTCATCCCGTTTGAGAATTGGACAAGAAAAAAAATTCAACTGGGATTCGGGGTGGATGAGCTTGTACCTTTTTGTCCTTTTTGTGCTTTAAATGCGTGAATATACACAGCTGTAAATGAGTAAGTTATTATAAACACTGGTGCTTCTTAGTGGGATCACTGCTCTCCTGGTGTTGGTTCCGTTAGTAATGCGACTACTTTAGACAATTTCCATGAGAACCTCCCTTTCGGTCTGTCCTACGCGGACTTATCGCAAGCACAGACACTCGACAGCACCGTTCTTCATAATCCACAACAGCTACAACACGAATTCCAACATGCTCATCAACACATGCAAGATCCAGCAACTGCAGCAGCAGCCGCAGCAGCAGCTTCTTATCAATCTTCGTATACCACGTTTCCAATGCTACAAGCAGCGGCAGCTGCTGCTGTCATGCCACCACCTCCATCACCACAAGCTCCTCCACCACCACAAGCACCTCCTCAGCTACATCACCCTGATGTCAATCAGCAGCAACCACATAAGGATAACACGACACTAAGCCCCCTGAGTAGTGGTAGCACCGTCAGCCCCACAGGAAGCCCTAGCTTATCCAAAGATATCAAGCTTCACTCAAACAGCGTCGTATCTATTCCCGATCATTCTTGCTCTTCTATGATAGTGGATGGAACAACAGCAACTACATCTACAACAACATCTGCATCAGGAAGTTCGGTGCCTGTACGAGTGACAAGACCACCCAATGCATTCCTATTATTCAACAAGGAAATGCGTAAACAACTCAAGGAGTCGAATCCCAGTATGAAAGTGGCCGAGATCAGCAAGGAGATTGGTGAAAGGTGGAAAAAGCTTAGTGCAACTGAAAAGGAGCGCTATGTCAATGAAGCCAACAGCATCAAAGAGACGCAACGCGCAATGCATCCAAATTCCATGTACATACGCCGATCCAAGGCTGAGTTGGCCAAGGCTGGTCATTATGCCAAGCTTAAACGAAAGGCTATGCTTGTTCAGCAACAACAACAACAACAGCAGCAACAATCAGCAGATGATCATCTCCTTGGAGACGATGTAGCAACCACATCCACCACATCATCTCATAGCTCCTCCAATAGCAGCAATAATCGAGGATCAATGTCGACAATGTTTGGTCGCACAACTAAGGAAGGAAAAACCCGTAAACGCCAAAGGCGTGACAAGAACCCTGCAGCACCCAAACACCCCTTGTCAGCCTACATGTGGTTCCTCACCGAAGTTCGTCCAGAGACGATGCAAACGTATCCTGGTTCAACAGTGGGCCAAATCAGCAAATTATGTGCCGATCGATGGAATAGCATGACAGCAAGCGAACAATTACCTTGGCACAACAAAGCTCAAGCTGACAAGGCACGCTATGCTCGTGAGATGCAAATTTATGCTTCCCATCATGATCATCCAATGGGTCGTGGAACTCGGCAAAAGTACCGAGCAGCTGCGGCAGCAGCAGCAGCAGCAGCAGCCGCTGCATCAGCCGCTGCTACATCGACGGCATCAGTTGGAGGGACACCAGCAATGACTACTACAGCAGCAACAACAAGTGCATTATCAGTAGCAGCAGCAGCAATAGGAGGAGAAGGAGTTGGCGTTTCTTCGAGTGCAATGACTACGATATCCACTTCACCATCTCCAATGATGACCTTGTCTTCTACAACATCGAACTTGTTATTACCTACTACTGCTAGTACCACTGCTACGGATCATCATCACCACCATCCTCATCATCACCATCCTCTTTCGATTACCACAACACCATTCCATCATCATCATCATCCACCGCAACCATCTCCTATACCCAATCAATACTCGACTACCACAACTACAACTACTACTCAGGAGCATGCACTTCACCCCGCATCCCAACCGCATCATCAACATCATCCACATCATTCAACTCCACAACAACAACATCATCATCACCATCACGCCTTATCCATGCCAAACAGTCCTACAGCTCTGTTGCATCCAACCCCCGATGATACCTCTTCCATGCAAACCGCAGCAGACGTGGCAGCAATCTTTTCAGCTTCACGCATGAATCGTCCCGGCGAATAAAAAAAACAAGCACATAGCAAGGCATTCTCTCTCTTTCTTTTATACGTTCATTGGATACCTTTTTTTCTTTTCACTCTTTTGCTCTTTTTTCTTCACTTTACAACATAATGCACAATCAATCAATCAATCAATCAACATTCTTTGTTTTCTTTTCAACGATTTCTTCATGCTTTTGCACTCCTTTGCATTGAAAAAGTTTCTCATTGTTTTACACCTTTTAATGAACCTACTCATACACTCACACAATAACCTTTTATGATGGAGATGTATTAAGAGCTATTGTATTTACATTTGATTGTGTAAAAAGGGGAACTGCAAAAAGGGAGGGGAAGGGATGGGGGAAAGGAAAGGAGATAGGATTCTACTTGTTGCCACCAAAAGCATTTTGGATACCCTTCAATGCACCTTCAGCTTTATCCTTGACGCCTTTGACAAAGCCAGAGATGTCGGCTGAAGCTTCATTGATTTGACCTTGGCCACGTTGAGCGGCGCCTTCACTCTTCATCTTGTCGTTGTTGACGGCATCACCAACGGTTTCTTTGGCGTTACCAACAGCTTGGTCGAGTTTAGCATCCGTCTTGCTTGGACTATCCATGATGATGTTGTATATTAATGAAGAAGAAAAAATGAGTGATCCAATGACCCCAACCTTTTTTTATATATACACAATGTGTCGGAACAACTACACCCTTGATGATGTTGTTGATGGCGATGATGAAATCGCGCTATTCGAGCAACACCTTGCCAATGACCTGAAATGGCCTTGTGTGAAACCCATGTCAAATCGGGACCCACCCTATGCATGCATGAAGAGGAGTAATATACCCATCCATAGAAACGTTCCATAGATAGAGATATAGTTACGCGTGGTATATATATACGTCGCCGTAATAGCACTCAACATCGAGATAATAAAAGCAACGGGATGTTATATGCATATCTCTTTTGTACACAGGCAATCGTAAAATGTAGTCATGATTGCTGCAGCATCTTTTACGCTGGGTAAAAGGCATGCACCATCGGTCTTACATGCACATGCTGCATGTTTCACTACTTGGGATCTTCAAGGATGCTAAAGTGGTCAATGTTGATTACAAATCAGCACATCAAGTTCAAAGTCTAATACACATGCTGTGTTTGCAACCTGCCAAAGACTAATGCAAGACGTCAAAATCATCGACATTACACTTCACCGCGTATGGATACTTTGGTTGAAACAATGTTATCTTCATTTTCAGGGTCAATCACATCTCATTTGAAGGCGTATGAGGAGCATAGTAGGATTAAGGTCTAATAGATTGCCTTGTGGAGAATGGATGATGCATTGCAGATGATTTGAATGGGAGCGGAAAGGAACTTGGGTCTTTATCTCTTGTACACTTGTCTATATACCTTTATACTCTATTTCCAAACAAAGAACACCATGAGCACACACGATCGATCCAGCAATGGGACAGCAAGGACAACGTAATGCCTACATTTGCAATCGACTATCCAATCAAAGCAACTGATCTGGTAGACATTTGACAGGACACATGAGTCTTTGGATGACGACTTGGTGGAAGCACAGAAGGACCCAGACTATCTCAAGCTATTGAAGCAGCTGGATGACACGTATAACCAGAAGGTGGAGGAGAGTGAGCTACGACGACAACATGAAGTCTCTTCAATACGGCATTGGTGCAGGGTCGAGCGACAAGAAATCCATAAGACGTACAATGCAAGTATTTGGTCAAGTAATCAAGGTTGATCTTTGTGTCTCATGGATGGATAATGTTGTATAATAGAATGCCGTCAAGAATGAACGTCAGCGGATAAAAAAAGAGATATTAGAAAAGATTGCATACCTCGAGGCAGAAATGGAAGCATTGAAGAATAGCGAATAAATCCGTTTGTGGTACTACATGTATACCCTTGCTTAATGGAAAATGACAGCAGTGATGTATTTGAAGTAATTGTGGTTGTGGTTAATAACATATGGAGTAGATTTACAAGTATGTATCTCTAGGTTATCGTATAAGCTGTACAAGAGAAAGAGGGAAAAGATATCTAGAATTTACTATTTTACACGTTGTTGTTGGGTGTCTTGGAGAGACCAGGAATTTCTTGTTGAGCTACATCTTGCTGGACGCTATCCATGAGCGCTGCATCGTGTGCAGCCGTGTTGCCACCAAATATCGCATCCATTTCTTCCAAAGAACGGCCCTTGGTTTCTATACAACAATCAATGTTAGATCAATACATTACCCCATGTACCTATCCATATGTTACTTACCAGGCACAAATAGCCAAATGAAAAAGAAAGAGAGGAAGCAAAATGCACCAAAGAATATATACGTCCCATATCCAATGTTTGCAATCATGGGTGGAGTGATTAAGCCAACAACAAAGTTAAACATCCAATTGGCTGATGTACTAATGGACATGGCCTTGGCCCGTGCACGAAGCGGGAAGATTTCAGATGCATACACCCATCCAATTGGACCCCAGGAGTAGGCAAAGTTCGCAATGAAGATATATACAAACACCACAGCGACCCATCCTTCACGTGTATGATTTGGCCAATCATCTGAAAAGAGACCAACAAGGGTGGCGATGATCACCATGCAGCATGTCATTAACGCTGAAGCTGTCATCAACATGGGCTTGCGACCAAATTTGTCAAGAAAGAGAACAGCAGGCAGCGTCATGACAAAATTGATAATGCCAACTACACCCGTTGCTAGAAGTGAAACACTGTTGCCGGTCAATCCAACGGATTGGAAAATGCGAGGAGCATAGTAAATCAGCGCGTTTACCCCTGTAAGTTGTTGATATACCATAATAGCACAAGCTAGGAACAACCGCAAGAACATGCCATGACGAAATAGGTCAACATAGCCCATGATAGTTACTTTGATAGCGCCTTTTCGGCCTTGCTGTAGTAGATCAGGATAAGTTTCTTCTTTCACACGACGATCAAACTCAACAGTGGCCTTGATTTCCCGCCATTCGAATATCACTGCAGCATCATCAACAGGCAGTCTTCGCAACTTGGATAATACTCGTAATGATTCTTCTTCACGTCCAACGGTCATCAGCCAACGTGGTGAGAAGGGGAAGAACAAGATACCAATGCCAAGGATAAGACCAATAGCCAGCTGCAACAAGAGTGGGATTCGCCATTGTGCTTCGTTGGGGATGTATTGCGTGCCATAGTCGATCCAAAAGGAAATAAGGATACCGAAAGTGATGGCAAGCTGTTGTAATGAAACAAGTGATCCACGAATATTGGGAGGTGCAATCTCGGATTGGTAAAGTGGCCTGCATGCAACTCGTCATGTGAGTACATATATATACGAACATCATCCTACACATTTTACTGCTCCTTGGTTATCACCAGGGATGCACATATGGATACTTACACAAGCATACTCAACGCACCTACTGCCATACCAGTAACAAATCGACCGCCAAAAAGATATCCAATATTCTGAGCACCTCCTTGCTACAAGTTGTCAAGAGACAAAGGAGTCGACAGGTTAGTGATTAGACGCATGTCGCCAACTAACCAACCACCTCCACACACGTCCATCAACTTACAATAGCACTTCCAAGGAGGAAAACAATACAAAACATCACAATGGAGTACTTGCGTGAAATCTTATCGGCAAAGTAACCAACAATAATTGATCCAAGCCAGGCACCTAATTCCAAAATCGCAACGACGAAGCCATTCTCTGTAGGATTCATGGGGAATTTGGCTTTGAATGTCTACAAAAAGACGTATCCATGTCAACATGAAAACCATAGCAACATGTTCATAACACTCACCTCCATCTCTTGGACGCCTGAAATCACACCTTGATCGTAACCAAAGAGCACACCGCCCAGCGATGCAAATAAAGCGACGGCAAATACGTATGGGTTCTCAATGATGCCTTTCAAGCCGGTGGACCCTTTGCCTTCGCGGCCCATCACAACGGCCAATTCTTGTTTACTATCTTGCATGTTGGTGATTATGAAGAAGGACGACAAGAAGAATGTCAAGTATAAATGCGATGATAGTTATATAATAATAAAATCAGGAGGAGAGGAAAACGAAGTGAGGATATGAAAAACTTGCATATGCGTTCTTATATATAGACCCATATGCAGACAACGAGATTAGCACACGATGCAACAAGATGCGGGGGGATGTAGTGAAAGGGATATAATAGGATAGGATGTGTAACCTATGCATCATTCTACTTGATTTGAGCGAGTCCCGAAACACCATAGGGCGGGACAAAGTGGCCTTTCCCGCACCATTCAAAGCGCAAAGCTTGATGACATTTACTCCCACGCCAGGTCTATGTATCCCAGATCGCCCCATTTCCCGCTTGATTTGACACCACCACTTTAAACAAGTGACAATGAATATGCTTTCTTTGTGGGTTGGATGGATGTAATGATAGATGCGGGATACACATACATGACCTAGCAGCAAGATACAGTGTATACTATATGCGCATGCATATTACCATTGCTGTCAAATTGTTGTGCAGGGCGTGGTGCTTAGCTTTTGTTCTTTTACCAGTTGATCCCGCTTTTCAGATTAACCCTTGCCAACCATATGTTACACAAGTTGGCCTATTCAGTCAGCTGCCCCGTCAACTAGCAATGAGCTGGAGCCATGAACTCCCTTTTTTGTGCCATTTGCTGGTGGATAAAAAGGAGGTATGCGTTTACTGATGTATCGATAACGCAGCCATGTGCAGGGCACATGACCCCTCTTACTGATTTTTTCAATCCAGGTATTGCTGTCCAACGTTATGCTGCTTAATATTCCCTAGAAAGGACATTTACGTAATACCTGATAAGGCTCTTTCATGATCCCACTTCCTTTGTTTCACAAAGGGAGCCGAGCCCCGTTATCTTTGATTCATTTGATTCATCTCTTTGTCATAACCGCTTGTTGGCTCCATGCCCAATCCATGTTTTTGACGCTGCTGGTCATGTTCAGTCACATCAATGTCGTCTAAAATTACATTATTCAGCACTTGCTTTAGATTTGGGATGTGAATTTGCTGAATCTTAACTTTGAATGAGACCGTTTCAGCTTGACAACGTATGCACACATCGGCATTGACTATCGCTGTAAACGAAACAAACGACTCAACAGCATTACGCCCATATGAAAATAGCATGGCGACATCCATTACATCTTTGCGGTATGCTTGTGAAACCAATAATGGGCAATCTGAAATAGCTCACAATGCATTGTCTATATGTGAATTCATTATCAATGCGCATAATTTTCCATATCGCCTTGCATAAGCGTTTTGCCAAAATAGGTCATCGATCCTATGAACGTACTTATTCCGGTGCCGCCATCTTCGTCTCCCTTATCACAAAAGGGTGGTTGGTATTATCCATGGATGCTACATCACCCAAACACATCACACGCATGTAAATCAAAAGACCCAAAACATTATGGATGAGGTGATGTACAGGATGGATCATTGTTGATGAAAATGGCTACGTCGTACGTATCTAAGGTCCTTTGAATGCTTCATCTAATTGCTGGTTTATCATTGCCAACGATTGTAGGTATATGGGAGTATCCACATTCTGAATAACCATTCCATGGACTATCACCAAAATCATGACATTCAATACCGCATGCAACCAAATCTCTTGTAGATTTACCTTACCTCCACCAATCAATCGTACAGTTGCTGTCTTAACACCTGCCTCAGTCAATTTACGTCCGTATTCTTCGGCTTCGTCACGTAACAAATCTGCTTCCGAGGTCATAATGAGAGCTGGTGGCAAACCACGTAGGTCATCGAGTGATGCCAACAAAGGTGCAGCCCACTTTTTATCGCCTCCTTCTCCTTCAAAGTATAGGTGTTCCACTTGTTCCACGTCTTTACGGCTTAATGGATAGTCACCATTGCCAAATTCTTGATACGATGGGAACCTTTCGCGATTGGATGACGCTGTGACGGGATAGTATGCAATTTGAGCCTTGATCACATCCCCCAGGCCACGCTGTTTGGCCATCAATGGGATCGCAATTGCTAGGTTACCACCAGCACTATCACCACACACAGCTAATTTGTTGGTGTCGACTTTGATACCTCTGCCATTCTTAAGCACCCACTGTAAGGTTGCATAGCACTCTTCATGTATCAATGGGAATTTGGCTTCAGGGGCTAGTGAGTATTCGACAAAGACAATAGCCACGCGACTTTTAGTGCATATCTATGAGAGTAAATTTAGTACTCATATATCCCATGTTGTACCCAAAAACACAAGCGGCATACATACATCGCGAGTGACCTTGCGATGCGTATATTTCGAACCGCTTATAAATCCACCTCCATGACTAAGAGAAAAGTGTTGATTGTGTCATCCATATACATGCATCAAGGCTCACACTTACTAATAGATGACAACAGGAAGCATCTCATCCTCGGTACCCAAAGGACGCAACAGCGTCAATCTCAAGGATTTATCCTCACTATCCACAACCCTGTCTTCTTCAATGACGTCTGGAACTTGAACTGCAGCACCGCGTTTGTCCATGTTTTCTCGCACCTTTTCAAGTGGGATATCACCCATAGGTGGTAGCTTCTTTCGAGCTTCGTTGATAGCGGCATAGGCAGGGTGAATAGGTGTGGGTAAACTCATGTTGATGAAAGAAAAAAGAACACCAGCTATCTTCTCGGATGAATTTGCCCCTTTTAGCTCCGCGTCACCGCGTCAGCTGACGCAGCACGTTAGTGCATATACTCATCGGAATGACAGACTACTTCATGCATCGAGATTCGGTAGCTTTCAATGAACATTGAGTAGATCGGATAATCCTTATCTCCATCACAGCCAAAGACTCTTATTGATAGATGAAGACGCTGCTTCATTTGATGTTTGGCTCTTTCGATTGATCATTGATGCTTTAATTTGTAGTTCCTCTACTGCGAGCTAATATCCCCTTCCTCTCATTCACCATTGGTGCCAAATCCACTGTATGTGAACGACTCTCCTGCTCCAGCCCATCATTTCCATCTTCATTTTCTTGGTCCAAGAGGATTTGACTGAGTTGTACTCAAACAAAGAAGTACCATCCAAACATCACCTCAGCCTATCTAATTTCCAGGTCTTCCCTCCCGCCTTCTTGCCTCTTCCTCCCATTCTCAACTGTTACCCCATTCAAGTACATACAACTACCACCTGCGACGATTGTCCTGCTTCAACCCATCATGTCAATCCTATACTTGTCTCGATTCGTTTGTCTTTGGCTGAATGGCAAGTCCATGGCGTATGCACCCCACTACAACACCCGCGTTTCTTGACACTTCACCTCTCTTGTTCAATCCTCGACCACTATCAAACGTAACAGCATGCACTGCAGCAGTTGCTGTTAGCGATGTCTTTACTCCATTCTCTCAAACAGCGTTCACAACCTTGTCATTCTACTACAACACACGTTCTTGCACTCCTCTGCCGCAACCAAACGTAACAACAATTGCTATTATCAAGGTCTTTACTTCATTGTCTCAAACAGCGTTCTTCACTTGCAGCAACTTCTCATACAGCCTTTTTACGTGAACAGCAGACAGTCGTTGTATAGAAGCTGCTTTATTTACGTGTAGCAACTTACTTCAATACAAATGAATTCCTATGGGTGATGCCATATCAGCCATCAACTACATTTCACATTACGAAAATGGCAAAGAAGTGATTGACCAACAGCCGGATGGAGAAGGAAGCGATCACAGGGGTTCTTTGTATCAACTTGTTGGGTTTGCAATGGTTATGGATGGATGCAATCAAGTACAGCGATGGGTGATCCTGAATTGACATTTTGGTTACGTGGCACGTCGTCAGCAGGAAGGATAGACCCTGTCGTGTGGACATGGGTGAGGATGATGGTGGATTGGATGGCATGGATGAGAGGGCTTATATCTTTGACGGAAGGCGGTTTGTTTCCATGGATGATGTTGGATATTGGAATGAGAGCAATCACAGCAACCAGTTTGCAATCATGGAGGAAGATGCTTATGACGGCAGCAACCAAGAATACAATGACACAATGATACCCGCTGATTCGATATGGTCCACTGGTTGGCTTTTGGAATCAAAGGCAGGATAGAAATTTGAAGGCTGGAAGGCAAAATTGGATTACCCACATTATTGTATCGAGATGCTTTGTTCCTTTTGTCATACTACATTCATTAAAGCTTCCTTGTTCATATGTGGATATACGATAGCCAGTGGCAATAACGGATTGTATACATGTTTATATAGACGCTTGTATTTCAAAGATAATAAACCCATAGTCATGGTACCCAACAATAGTAATTGTTACGCAAGCTGGTCATTGCAAGCTTGAATCATTATGTCTAAGAAAGAGTGAGTTCTGGTACTGTACAATGTGGCATGAGTACATGCATATGCTTATCTATGAGAACTATCAGCTTGCGCTACCTTGTATGTATAGCCTTCTATGAGAACGAACCCCGGAGACATACAATACCATTACCGCTCATAGTCTTGGAGGCACTGATCACTTTGGCTTGTTACCATACCATGGGTCATCTGAAAAAGTTCCCAAGAGGTCTACCATAGGCGGGCCTTACTATGGGGGAAAGTGTCAATCATGCACTCTCCACCAATAAGAATCCTTCAAGCTCTGCCCCTCTCAGTTTTATTTTATTATACAAGCGAGTCCCTCTGCGTCTTTGGCCTATCAGAGTCTAGCTACTTGACAATGAACATGTCTTCCCAGAATTTAACCAAATTGCCTGATAAGGAAACAGGCACACAAAATCGTCCACAACGTCTCTCGTATGCTAAAGCTACACGTCGTCCTTCGCTCATTCGTGATTCTTTGAAGACACCTACAGGTCGTAAATCGGCCACACACTCCAACGTGTGGAAAGTAGGCGGCTCACCAGCTTCTTGTCCCAGCTTGTTTTTTGATTTCACCTCTCGACCTGAACACCGTGCTGAAATACTTCGTCATATCAACAGCAAGTTTCCTAACAACTGTGGAGTACGCCTCCACTCTGATCACGCACGTCGCATTGTCGAACTCTTTATCGCCGACAAAAAAGACTATAGCAAAATCAAGTTCATGGGTATCAGCTTCCCTGACAACCAATGTATTTTACCTTCGATACCTCTTTCTCCTGATGCTCGCCTTGTACACCTTCAGCTTAGTGATCTACCCTTTACCACAAGGGACACGTTATCAAATGGTATTCAAGAAGCACTTTCCGACTATGGCAACGTCCTCGACTATGGTATCCTTCGCGATTATGATTCTCACCTCTTCATGGGCAAAGGCTATGCCACTCTGGAAATTAATAATGCCAAATCTGGTACAACTCCATTACGCCACACAGTTCCATGGCCCAATTCAGACGACCTGTTTCATGTTACGTGGGCAGAAATGCCGCTCCATTGCCTTCATTGCCATCAAGCTGGTCACGCTACATCTGCATGCCCTAATCGTGCTACTCGTTCTCGTGTTTGTTGGTCATGTGGCCAAACAGGCCATCGCGCCGCTAAGTGTCTCAACCGTAAACCCAAGCCTGATTCATCCAGTCCTACGACACCACCTATGCCTCATTCACCTTCGTCGCAATCTGCCAACAGCCAAACGTCTGATATCTCCATGTTGAAACTTGATCTATCGTCTATTGAAAGCCATAACGACAATATCATTAACGAGTACACACCTGATAATTTCGATGACAACATGCCTTTGCCGACGCCACAATTCACCTCCGGGCTCCTTCGCCATATTCACGATACCTACCCTATGTCTGACCAAGCCAAGCAAATCACCGCTTTCTTGACACCTTCAGCTCTTGATCTTCTTGCTGAATCTCTTAAACAGAACGGTCAACCTTTTGCATCCTCTACCCCTTCCTCTCATTTCTCGGGAAGTCCCTCGCCACCGAGGGACTATAGCCCGACGTAGTCATTCCTTCAATACGTAGTTCTTGTACGTTTTTTCAATATCGTTCCGATTTTGGGGTGCCACTCTTCGATGCACTCCCAATAAAACGAGGCCAAAAGCCTCCATATAAATACTTGACAATGAACAAAAAGCACCTTTCATATAGCATCACGCTTACAGCATAGGTAAAACATAAAGGTGTCTGTATCTCTAAACTTTACAATCAAACGTGGGTTCTTTACGAGGACAAACCTGCTCGGCTTGGCCAACTGCACCTTGGGTGCAAGTTTCACGATCAAGCTTGCCAATCCCAGATTTCGCAATGTCGCCACCAGCCAAACTGGATCCAGGGGTCGACCTCTTGAAACTTTTTTCGACGACCAAAAAAATATTTTTTGGGCTAGTTGCGACATTGGACGTGAAACTTTCACACAAGGTGCTGTTGGCCAAGCCGAGCCCATTGCTGTAATAAAAACCCCACGTTTCATTGTAAAGTTTGGAGACACAGGCACCTTTATGTTTGTAAGCGTGATGCTATATGAGAAGTGGTCTTTGTTTAATGTAAAGTAACTAGACCCTGACAGAGCAAAAGATGCAGAGGATCGTGTTGTGTAACACAGCTATGTTTGCATGAATGAAAGGGCCAATGTATAATTACTTTATGGGCCATCTAGGAACAGGCATGTATTGCCAGCTAACGGCCACTTTTATCCAGTCATCATTGTTGCGAGATCCACTGCATGGGAACGATGCCCCTGCTCCAGACATTCATTTCCATGATTAAAGTAGGTTGATCCGAGCTGATTTGACTGAGCTGCGGTCAAAGAGAGATTACATCACTCTGAACATAGAGCACGCTCGATGTAGCTCAACCGATGTAATCTTGTGTGAGCGTAACTCAACCAAATCAGCTCAGATCAACCTACTTTAATCATGGAAATGAATGTCTGGAGCAGGAGAATCGCCCACCTACAATAGAATGCACAAAAGTTGGGAATGCACAAAAGTGGCTATTAGCTGCCAATGTATGACCTGAAAATGAGGGTTGCATACCTGTCATGCATGGTCCCTGAAGTCCAAACTTTTTAACCCAGTTATACAAACACGTCCCTCTGCATCTTTTGCTTTGCCAGGGTCCACCTACTTCACAATGAACAAAGGCCACTTGTCATATAGCATCACGCTTACAAACATAAAGGTGCATGTATCTCTAAACTTTACAATGAAACGTGGAGTTTTTATTAGAGCAATGGGCTCGGCTTGGCGAACAGCACCTTGTGTGAAAGTTTCAAGTTCATCGTGGCTAATCCCAGATTTCGCAATGTCGCCACCAGCCAAACTGGATCCGGGGGTCGACCTCTTCGACGACGACGACCAAAAAATATTTTTTGGGCTAGTTGCGACATTGAACGTGAAACTTTCACACAAGGTGTTGTTATCCAAGCCGAGCCCATTGCTCTATTAAAAATCCCACGTTTCATTGTGAAATCTTGAGATATGGACGTCTTTATTATGTGTGCGTGATGCTATATGACAAGTGGTCTTTGTTCATTGTGAAGTATTTATATGGAGGCTTTTGGCCTCAGATTTATTACGCGAGAGTATGTCAGAGAGTGATATCCCGCAAGCGAAACAAGATTGATACAATGAAAGTTTTAACGCGAAACAGACAAACGTAATCGGAAAGGCCTAATGCCTGAAACAAATAAGGACCTCATGTCCACAGAAGAATTGGAACCGGCGACCCCGGGAAACGGAAGGAACTGGATAGCCACTCGGCCAGGGGGGGATACCCCCTTGTTCATTGTGAAGTAGCTGGACCCCGCCAGAGCAAAAGATGCAGAGGGACCTCTTCGTGTAACTCAGCTACTTTGCATGATTGGAAGGGTCAACGTATGGTACGCTATACACTGTTCAGTAACAGCTGATCATTGAAAGCTAAAACCCACTTTCTCCCTTCCACCATTGTTGCCCAAATTAGTGCATATGAACGATTGTCCTACTCTAGCCCAGCATGCTCGTCCTTCAAGTTTCTTGATCCGAGGGGATCCGACTGAACAACGCTCAAACACAAAACATCATCCAATTTCAGAGGAATCAAACTGATTGATTATATGAAAACTGCTACTTGATAGCCCATTCCTCCCATTCATCTTTGTTGCCCAATCCATTGCATATGAACGATTGTCCTGCTCCAGCCCATCATCTTCATCATTTAACTTTCATGATCCAAGAGGATTTGATTGAGCAACGCTTGTACAAAGAAGTATCATTCAACATCAGATCAACCTGTTTTAATTTCCTGTTCTTCCTCTCCTTGGTTATTGTCTCTTCCTCCCATTCCCAACTGTTGCTCCATTCAAGTACGTACAACTACCCTGCGCACGATTGTCCTGCGTCAGCCCATCATGTCAACCGTACCTCTCTCTTGATCCCAATTCCTTGACTGAATGGCAGTCCATGGCGCAGCCTTCTTGTCACTCTACTACAACACACGCTCTTCTACATTCCTCTACCACGACCAAGCATGGCAGCGTTCTTTCCAGCAGTTGCCATTAGCAAGGCCTTTACTCCATTGACTCAAGCAGCTCTCTTTACTTGAAGCAACCCAGCCTTTTTTACGTGAACAGCAGATACCCGTTGTATAGAAGCAGCTTTATTTACGTGTAGCAACTTGTTCAATACATACGGATTCCTATGGATATGGATATGGATACGAATATTGGTTTGGTATATGGGATGGAAGGAATTGGGTACATGACAACTCTGGTAGCTGTCAAAGTTGAAATGGGATGGGGTCTTAACCGAGTTGGTTGTTCCCTGGTCCATTTGGAAGAATCCTATACGTGATATATGTTCAATTGAAGCAAGCATGATGGGATAGCATCAATGTTACATGCATTCTTGGACGCGGATATAATAAAGCCGGCATCTTTTGATGGACAATGTCATCGGTTGGTCAAAAGTGACGGATGATCCATCGTAATGAAATTAGAACACCACATCAAAGATGCTACAATTCATCTACTAGTGTTTCGCCAGGGTATAAAAAGTTATGGATACCTGAGGATCGCCAGCAAACGTTCCCTGCTTGCGGCTTGACGTTTGGGGTTTGCCTTCAGCTTCATGTTGCAGAGCCGCTCACACACCTTTACATTGGTATCAAAATAGGTGTGAATCCTATTGGGATGTACATCATTTTTGCTCATACATGCATTACATCATCACCCTATATGTAGAATACACATTACTGGGGGTTGCTTGAATCTTGCACCCGATTGACTCAACCTTGAATAAGGTGTTGATCAACGTATACGAGATGAGGACGATAATTGTCAGTAATAGTCACATGCACGGATGTTGCACCCGTGAGCAGAAAACAACCACCAACGTCATCAGGTCTTGGCAGCAAACAGGCGCAAGGAAGATTATGGAAGTTGTTGTGCAACTCTTGAAGGATCTGTGTGTGCATCAAGGGGTCAAGTAAACAGAAAAAGGTAGGACCAAGTGTAACACGCTCGTCATGCTGTACGCTGAATCCCAAGGAAACGGTCGATCTGAGAATATAGACCCACCCACCAACATACATAGCCCCTTCACTCCTTATTTCCGATACGTTCCTGCATAATGTTTGTTGTCTTTTGGCGACGAAAAAAGATTGTAGAGATCCACATGTAATGATAAAGTAGACTCTCTCGCATTACTAATTATCATGATATATAAATAAAACCCATGTTACAGGATGATGAATGCCCACTATTATGTGCTGCGCGTGATATTACACCTATAGCCATCAAGTCAGGCACCACCATGTTTGGTATCATATGGTGTTGTATGCAAGTCAGGATATTGTATTCCCCTGTAGTCTGAAACAAGGTTGGACGATGGTGGTGGTCATTATCGATGGCCACACCACACGATACAACCTACCATCCGCCACCACCGCCGCCGGCTATACCTTGCCGCTCATTGTCAGAGCTCCTTAAAACATCTATCGATATACTCTCGTGATGATAAAAGTGATGAATGGGAGGACGAAATTTTATAGTTTTGTAGATGCTCAGCCAATGGAAGGCTTATCCACGCCCACACAAAGAAGACAATGAATCTCACACAGATTTTGGGGAGGAGGAGGACTTCTTTTTCTAATTGTCAGGACGAATTGCGTACATGTTACACGAAATCTACATTTGGGGGAAACCTTGGGTTTGTTGACACAGAGGAATTACTCTTTCTTCAGGTCTCTTTTTTTTCTTTCCCTTCCTTTCACTGCTGCTGCTGCTGGTTGTTCTTTCTCTCTCTCTTTCTCTCCGCCTTTACCTGTCACTTTCCATACTCACACTCACAACCTCCCTTTCCTCCTTATCTCTTGTCAGCTGGGGTCATTTATCTCGTGCAGCAGCATTCCCTCTCTTATTTCTTCATTGCCTCATTTCTTCTTGACCCATGGCCAACTTGCTCACCATCAATGCCGCCGCTGGCACATGCGAGGAACCACTCGACTTTGATACCTTATTCCGAGAGCAGTTTGCACCCTTGCTTCAAAAGTTCAAATATCGGCTATCGCAATTCGAGCAATCCATTAGCAGCAAAAGACTACAGAATTACAGTCGCACCAAATTGAAGCGTGCCTATGAGCTACTCGAGAAACTAGACGAGGAATGGCATCATCGTTGGGAAACAGCATGTTCATTAGCAGCCGACGATAAAAAGAGCATGCAGCAGGCATTGATAGCTTTGGAACAATCGTTGACCGACAAATATCGAGAACTCGAAGCAATGCTTCTATCAGCTGCTGAAGACAATCATTACACGCTTGATGATACCATTGATGCTGTCATGTCCAAGATTGAAGAAATCGATAGCAGAATTTCGGATGCCATTGAAAGAGCAGCTGAAATGGGCACCAAGATGCATGAAAAAATCAACAAGGCCGGTGAACATGTCAAGGTTGCTATGGCCAAGGGAGCTCGTCAGTTGTTGCACTATGAGGAATTGCCTGTACAATGGCGTAACAACAAAGTAAGTTTAAATACGGGTATTTGGGCAAATAGCGGTAGATTAACTCAAGATATATAAAACCAGTACATCCACACGGGGTATCGCTTCCTATCAACTCCGGCCCAGTGTTGCCATTCACTTCTCTATTTGCACAACGAAACAGGCAACATTTACACCCATCTCATTGGCTTTGTTGTCTTCTTCTGCATTGGCATCTATGAACTCTTCTATTCAACCTTATTGACCGAAGCCCACGTGATCGATCGTGTCATTTTCGCCGTCTTCTTTGTCGCTGCTTGCAAATGTCTCATGTGCTCCACTGTATGGCACACTCTTTCCGGCATCAATGATTATGCAACATTCAAACGTGTAGCATGCCTTGATTACGTTGGCATTTCAGTACTCATTTGTGCAAGCGTTGTTTTGACTGAATACTATGGCTTTTATTGTCAAGATCAATGGCGTAATACCTACATGGTTGGCACTGGTACGCTAGCAGTTGCAGGCATCTTTATTCCCTTTATGGAGTGGTTTGATCGTGTTGGTGAGTAATAGCGATGCCCAGTGTGAGAAAATGGCACTCTCGGCTAATCTGTTCCCTGTTTTATTCATTCACAGAAATGCGGTGGCTGCGAATTACGTTCTTTATTGCCATGGCGGCTTCTGGAATTGTACCACTGGGCCACTTGTACATCAACTATGGCGCACGGACATTATTCGATTGGCTATCGCCCGTGACCAAATCATTGAGCTGTTATATCCTAGGCGTCGTTGTATATGGCAACCAATGGCCGGAGGCTTTTTGGCCTGGTAAATTTGATCACATTGGTCATTCACATCAATTGTGGCATCTTTTTGTGTGTGGCGGTATCTGGTTCCATTATGTTGCCGCCATCAGCTTTTACGGTCAGCGGCATGATTTTGGAGAGTGTCCAGCAGCTGCCCCTGGAGCTCTATCATAAAGACAAACACCCTTACTATTGCATCCATCATCCTAATTTCTCCTCCAAACCTATATCACAATGTCACATATAAACCAGTGCATATAAAATCACCACCCTCCCACGCCTCAAATAAAAATTATCACACCCTCTTTTATATCATAGAGATCCATCTCATTACGATGTTGTGTGGTGCTGTTGGGTGCATGGACGTGCATAGTGAAGGGCGATACTTTTTCAAGCATTACAGGGTTTATGCAATGTAGTAACAAGGGGTAAGCGAGAATTGTTAGAGAAGGACCCTGCACTTGACTGCAGTATGTGTGCTGATTATGGGTGAAATGACCATGACCTGTATCACAAGGTCGAGTACATGTGGCCTCGTGGCTAACAAAAGCCATGTCTGTGTGGTTCTCTCTACGTCATTATCCATCCTCCCTTTCTCACTACTATTGCTACTACTCACTTTTCTCTTTATCTTTTTTCTTCTTCTCCTTTTTTCCCGTTTCCCGCCTTGTTAAACACAGGCACTCTTTTCTGCAAGTTTACCAGCAATGTACAATGTGCAGTTCCAACAGCCATCTTATGGTACACAACGCTCATCGTCTCAGCAACAGCAACAGCAACAACAACAAGACGTGAATGCTGCGGCTGCCATGGGGAATGACCATAAGGCTTTTCCTTCACCCTTAACAACCTCTTCCATGGATTCACCCCCGACGCATCAAAAGATACAACATCATGCACCAGCCTCACCTAAGCCATATCCATCTTCCTCCTCATCCGCTACTGCAGGTCGTGTTTATCATCATCCTCCTCAACAACACCAACATCCTTATAATACACCCACACCAGGCTATGCCCAGCCATCGCCAGCTGCTATGGCCGCCGCAGCTGCAGCTGCAGCTGCATCTTCTATGCGTAAGGATATGTATTATGGTCAAGATGATCCACAACAGCAACAAGGAGATCCTTGGGATTCACCCTCTTTCAAACAACAACAGCAACAACAGCAACAGCAACAACAACAACAATTATCAGATGGAGGAGGAGGAGGAGGAGGAGTGGATGAAGAACTTCAACAACGAAAGTAAGATTGATTAGGAATTGGACCATTGTTATCTGTTGATGCACACGTGAATAACCAAAACTTTGTATCTTATTATTATTATCTAGCATGCAGCAATTGTTTGAGAAAAAGCGACGAAGACGAGAATCCCACAATGCCGTTGAACGTCGACGTAGGGACAATATTAATGAGCGTATCAATGACCTTGCCACCTTGTTACCCGATCGAGATGCGACCAAATTGAACAAAGGCACCATCTTGCGTAAATCTGTCGATCATATCAGGATTTTACATGAACGTCTTTCTGAATATCAACAACGCATCCAAGAACTCGAATCAGTACTTTCAATGTATCGTGGTAGTAGTAGTGGACCACCATCACATCTTATGGATCATCACCACCACCATCAACAACCTATTCCACCACCACCACCTCAACAACAACAACACCCACGTCATCCTCATCATCAGCATCAGCATCATCAAGATCAACAGGTTGCTGCTGCTGCCGCTGCCGCTGCTGCTATGATACCCTCTGGTCATCCACTTGATTTATCTGATATGCAAACCCATCTTGGTGGTTCACATGATCCATTTCGACGCGACGAGTAATTATATACATATGTCGACACCCCACAATTAGGCACCCGGTTTCATCTTTACAACACTTTCTCTCTTGCTTCATCCTTCCCACCACCCATCCGTTCTGTTTATACCTTAAGTCATGTTGTAACTATACCTCCTTCTTCTTTTGCTCACAAACCATTCCCACCACCAACCCCCTTCTTTATTCCTTCAGTTTTACCCAAGCCACTGTTATACATAGCTTATTCTCGACTCTCTTTTTCATTATGCATATATTTCTTTTGTCTCTCTCTCTTTGGTCTGCAGAGCATAAACAGAGCTTTCTTTTACATATACATTCCTATTTGTATCGATCCAGGATTCAAACCTACTTTGTCAACATTGTACTTGGATAGCATTGGTTACTTGAATAAATGAGATCACCCAATTAAACCACCCCCTGTTTCTCGCGGCCCCGTGTTCAATGGATAAAGGAACCTGTTTTATAATATACAACAAAAGATGCTATGATTCAATGATAGGGATAGATCCTTCGCTAATGTAAGTGCCCCCAGGACCACGTCGACCCATTTGCATGAGATGCAGCTTATCAAATTGCACATTGCCTAGATCCAAGTTTCCAAATTCTTTGAGAATAGGTCTTGCGTCAAATGGTCGCCGTGCACTGTCTTCGGGGGATTTTGCTCGATGGGCTGTGTTGATCAATGTCACGTGAAGCTTTGAAAGAGAGAGAAAGAGATGAGTGACAAGAAAGAAAAAAAGATAGCCAATAGCACCATTACCTTCAGGGGTCGATCATCTTCAACCATCAATCCACTTTCCATCATCTTTTGATTCACTGAAGCTATAAACAAACGTTGTTTTAGTCAATACTCATAATGCATACACAAGATCTACGTACTGCAAAGCTTTCTCAAAACACCATCTTCACTCTCGTCCTTGGGTTCAATGTATAATACATGTGCATCCGCTATGTACATATGTAAGCATACATCATTATGTAATCCCCACCCCCTTTTTGTCATTTCCAAATACCTGGATTTGTTTGCATGATCTTTAGATCCCGTAGATGGGCGCTCAAATTCCGATGACCTTGCATAGCTTCCCGTACAACCTTGGGACACTCGTGCTTCAAGAATCGTACTGCTTCCTCGATATCATCCTGATGCAAAAGCTTAAACACGCCGAGTGTGATATGGACATTTGCTGGATTGACAATGATGGACTCGTCAAGACCTTCGCACTTGAATGTGGATGATAGAATGGAGGATCGAAACTCTTCAAACTTGCGTGCTGTGTACGTTGATGCAATTGGGAGCGACAAGAAATGCGTTGGTCGAATGCGTTCCTTGTACTGATCAAAGGGATGTTAAATGAAGATCCAATACCAAGAACAGGCTCGTTTACCTTGTAGAGCATTTCATCAATAGCATTGGCGGCATTTTCCACCTTGTCTTTGGTACCCTTGATCATCACCGTGTCACGTGTCTTGTTGATGTCAATGCGCGTGCCCGTTTTAACACGTAAGCTTTTGAGCGTGCTTCCACCACGTCCTTGAAAAGAAAAAGCCAATCCCATGTCAATCATCCTTTGCATAATCCAAGCCTATCCAACGATGTCTTTACCTATCAATTTGCCATGAAACCTGGGATGTACGGGATGATGGTATGTAATGATCTCCTCCGTGTATATCGTCTCGTTTTCAGAATCGCTTGATGAAGAAGCTGACACGTCTACCAACAATCGATCAATTAGATATGGGCTGACAGTGTTGGTCTCTTGTTTGAAATACCTCCGTTGTCGGGCCGGCGCTGCATAGAACGAGTGTTGACACGATAATTACGACCTTGCACCTTGACAAGACTGATGCCTTGCAGAGAACGAATGGCTCGATTGCCGGTGGATGAGGAGCTTGCCATTTATGCAATGAAAGAGCTGGGTGTGTTCGGGAAAGGAAAAGAAGAAGAGGAGGAGGAGGAGTAGAGAACAAAAGACCAAAGTCGCTTTGGTGGGCGAGCGTCACGGTCACAGTTATCTAGAGAGAGGCACGTCTTCGTTGACTCTTTACCCTTTTACCTATTTATACATGTCGTCCACTGAAGGAAAAGTCTGTCAATCACCTGGTTGTGGCAAGCCTGCCAAGCTCCAATGTCCCACATGCTTGAAACTCAAGATTGAAGGCTCTTTCTTTTGCTCACAAGAATGCTTCAAGAGCAACTGGGTACGTGGTATATGCAACAACGCTCCTCATGCATCGTTTTCCAGTAACTAACTTGGGTCGATCGGCTTCATAGGCAACTCACAAGGCTGTTCACAAGGCTAAAATTGAGAGTAAGTTTGTGGGATATACATATTGGATGGTGTTGTTTGCAGGTATTCATTAATCAATCATTCACAATGACAGGCCAACCACATGATCCTTTCACGGGCTTCAAGTATACTGGTGATTTACGTGCTGTTTATCCTTTGTCACCCAAGCGCGAGGTACCTGCACATATCAAGCGACGTGAGTACATGATCGAATGCTATGACAACAATTTGGGATATTGATGCATGTGTATTTCATAGCTGACTATGCCGAAACTGGTATTCCCATTTCCGAGCAACGTGTACGCTCTAGCTCGGTCATCAAGGTATTGAATGCTGAAGAGATTGAAGGCATGCGTACTGTCTGCAAGGTAAAGGCTTTAAAAAGTGGATAGGATGGCATGATGGTATCTAACGATATACATTGTTATAGCTTGCACGTGAAGTTTTGGATATTGGTGCCGCTGCCATCAGACCTGGTATCACTACGGATGAAATTGGTAAGGCGTGTGTGGGATAGTTTGCTGGCAACATACTCATTGTGGCTCTATTTTGTGTAGATCGCATCATTCACGAAGCTACTATTGAACGCAATGCTTATCCATCTCCCTTGAACTACTATCACTTCCCCAAGTCCGTGTGCACGTAAGTTTTATTCATTGTCCTAATAAGGGGAGTACATGAAAAGCTACTAACCACACGCATTATCAACATAGCTCAGTCAATGAAGTCATTTGCCATGGTATTCCTGATAAGCGTGAGCTCAAGGAGGGTGACATTGTGAACTTGGATGTGACCTTGTACTACAACGGTTTCCATGGTGATTTGAATGAGACCTACTGCGTCGGCAAGGTTGATGAAAAGGGTCAAAAGCTCGTGAACACCGCCCGTGAATGTTTGGAAAAGGCAATTGCTATCGTTAAACCTGGCATCAAGTACCGTGATTTTGGCAAGGTTATTGAAAGCCATGCTACGGCCAATGGATTTTCAGTCGTCCGTACATTCTGTGGTCACGGCATCAACCAGCTCTTCCACTGTGCACCTAACGTTCCTCATTATGCCAGTAAGTATACACCATTCTTATGGATAGGATGGATGAATGAACCAACATTGTTGTTCTTTAGACAATAAGGCCATTGGTGTGTTGCGTCCTGGTCACGTATTCACTATTGAACCCATGATTTGTGAAGGCACTTGGAGAGATGAAATCTGGTAAGGAAAAGGAAAAAGGACACTTGAAAGAGTAGATGCTCATTGTTGTACTGCTTACCACTAGGCCCGATAATTGGACTGCAGTTACAGCCGATGGCAAGCGATCAGCACAATTTGAGCACACCATGTTGGTGACCGAGACCGGCGTTGAAATCTTGACATAGACTATTACTTTTATTGCTGTTGCTTTTATTATATCATTATTGCATGTGGATTCGCTGTTTACATTTGATTTACCATTGAAAGGTGTATAAAGAAACATTTACAAAGAAGACAAAAAAGGTTGATGGGGGAATTACAAGGAAAACAAGGGGGGAATACAAGGGGTAAGTTTATAATGCTGGACGATTCATTGTCTTGTGAGCTGAGGACAATTGGCCAATACAATCAACAAATTGTTCACTTGATGCGATAGACCATTTTGCCGCTGTTTCCTTTTCTTGAGGACCAATGTGTACACACCAAGCGGATGCGTGTGTTAAAGCATTGAACATGTCTTCATCGGTACGATCATCACCAGCACAAAGGATCCAATCGGGGTTTACACTTTGCTTGATACGACTGACCACATTCCCCTTGTTGACAAGTCTTGATCGTACTTCGAGATTCATTTTGCCACGCAAGATGTCGACATGGCTTGGATCAATGGCTTGTTGAAGTGCTTGGTAGCATGCTTCACATTGAGCGAGGGCTTGTTGTGGATCCAATGCATTTCGATAATGCCATGTGATGGATGCTTTCTTTTGCTCAACAACGGTGCCAGGTGTCTCCATGGTGAAGCGTTGAAATACATCAAGAGCTGTACTCTGCCAAGCAGCCATCGAATCGCCGTGTTGTGCCAACATGTTGATCCACTCGGATTCGGGTTGCTTCATAAACGAGCCGTGTTCGGCACTCAATCCTAATCCACGTACGTGTTTCCCTAACCATGATTCAAGGGTGGCTTGATCACGACCACTCACTACCCATACAGTATTGCGAGGATCATTGCATAGTGTTTGGAGATGATGAAGTAGTGCAGGTGTTGGTTTGGCGTCATCGGGATTGGATACGATGGGTGTTAGGGTACCCTGTTGATCAAAAATCAAGTCAATATGATATTCATTGTTTCAACCATTGCATATACTTACATCGTAGTCAAATAAAAATAGACGTCGTTGTGCATCTTGATAAGCGCGTGTCATCAAATTTACGTTCAAGAGAGGAGTCTTGTGTTTAAATTCTCCAGAGCCCAAACGGTTGGCAAGCGTTGTTGTAGACATTCTTGTGTCATTAACAAAAGGTGATCGTGGTGATAATGGTTGTATCAAAGCACGAGCAAAGGTATCAGGGTTGTTGGCAGCATCCACTATGAGTGAGGCATGCTGTTCAAGGGGGTTGCCAGGTGATACCACCAAAGGTGCATTTTTGGTATTGGTTGTCAAGAAGGCTTGTGCAGCAATGGTAGCAGTAGTATCATGGCCCATGATCAATGCAACATCAGCAGCTGCAAGCAAGTTGCTGTATTCCTCGGTAGTCATGGTCTTATGATTGATGATGCGAATGTTGTTTACGGTGGTCGTGGTGATGGTTGTTGTTGGAAGTTGGGTGGTGATATAGATAAAGGTGGTATCGCTGTTGTTGATAGCTGCTTGGTGAATGATAGGAAAAAGCGAGGGTTGATTGTCGATATTGTGGCAAAGAATGGTCGTCTTGGTGGAAGGAGAAGGATTGTGAATTGGACGAATAATGTGTGCAGTAGGTTTGAGCAGGCAACAAAAAGGAACTGGACCACGGGCTGATGCGGTGAATGCGTCAATGTCGCGTTGCATCTAGATATTCATTCCGCGGTGAGTGGAGTTTATATAAGCGATCAAAGGGACCCGTGCCATTTTTCCCGCCATCATCAACAACAACAACACTATCACAAGAAATGAAATAATGCTCACCTGAAATGCAACTAGATCGGCTGCAAGCATGCTTTGGATCATTTGTCGGTGTTCTATACAGTAAACCAACAACTCCCATCGTTAGCATTTTCACATTCCGTTGTTCCAATCAACCCTCTCGAAACACATGCCTCTCTCCCCTTATCAATCGGCCACCCGCTTAAGTATTTACCTGATAGTCGGCTATCCAAAATAGGAAAACGATGGTTGATAACGATTGCTATCGTAGCTTGTGGCAATCGCTGACGAAGCATTCCAGGCAACAGTAATAAAGCATAATCATGGATCAAAACTAGGGGATGCTGGTATTAGTGATATGCATATACGTGATACGTTGAAAACGGGTACTTACTTATATCGTCATCAGAGCGATAACGCTCAACGATTTGATCGGCAAACTTTTCATTGAGCTTGGCAAACTGCCGAAAATGGTCAATTGAGCGGGATGAGACACCAACATTAGTAGCTTTGTGCTCTTTTGATGTGTCGTGTTGTTGTATTGATGAACGTCCGTGGAACAGTGGATCAAGAGCTATTTTTGGTGTGCATGAGTAAAGATTTTTGAAAAAAGACGCGTTGCCATGCTTACTGCTGGTGATGTATGAAACAGGTTGGTGGGTATCGAGAAGGACAATATTATGGCCATTGGTGTTGTCATGATGTGATGATGCCATGGACTGTACAACGTGCCATGTGGATTGCCACATTAAGCTGTTGAGATGTTTTGTTGGTGAAGATGATAGGTAGTGTTGTTTTGGTGGCGACTGTGGTGGCGAAGGCGGGAATGCAATGCGGTTGGATGCAAAAGAAGACGATGATGCAGTTATAGAAGGATAAACAGCGTGGATAAACATGGCGTTATATGTCGTAATGTATACAAGAGAAAAGTCAACGATCGTATCTTGCGTCTCGCCTCCCTTTTATATGTCCCAATCAAAGATAGAGAATTCGACACAGATAATGCGGACTTGGGTATCTACTGTGTAGCCATCGATAAGCCCAAACGTCATGTTCCAAAACTGGGGACCAATTTTTAGCCCCTCTTTCCTTGTCATATCGATATCGCATTAATGAGATGGCTATGATACATTAAATTTCTACCAGAGTATGTTGTATCATGCACAATGCATCATGGCAACAAAGGTAGTCGATGCTGTGAACATACCTTGTGGGAAATTTCTTGGTTGGGTATATTAGGCAAAAGCCGATCTTATCTATCAGTGGCTAAGGCACATAAACCAATCAGCAGCGATACACCACCACGAAAAATGCATTATTTTCATATTTGTTTGCTATCGGTGAATACACCCCATTGGATCAATTCATCGCTTCAAGATAAGGATAACATGTGCTTTGATGACATTGGTTTGCCTCCCGAGCTTCTTGCCAAATGAGATACATAGATGTACTCGATGTTGCGCTGGGCTCATACAGTCAACTATGATCAATAGTTGACTAATGGTTTTCAAAATCCGAAATGACAAGTGTGTTGCAATTTCCTTTACCATTCACTATGATTGCCACCATGGTTGTCGCTGCACGTGAAATTGATGTCTTTCGTCTCTCGTCATGATGTCATTATCTATTATCGATCACTATACAACGAGGATTGATGGAATTGATAGGAACATTCAACAGCGTCTTGGTACATAGCTATGTTCCAAAGCGCTTCACTTTGATGGAACAACGCTACCAATCCTTCTTTTACAACCAATGATCGATTATCGTGGAACAATGTGCCGTCAAAGAAAATGATTTCCTTCGCTCTAAGTGCCTGTAGTCATTGTAAAGCGATCTTTTTTTGGTACCACGAGGGCCTCAATCTCCAAGGCCGCATGAAAAAAGTATGGGTAGCGAAAATCTAAAGCAGACAACAATACTCGGAATGGGGTAACTCTGGTTCGGGTCATCATGAAAGCTTATTTCCAGACCGGGTTGGTGATTCCGGATGCTGCATTAGCAAGCTGTTTCTCGGAGTTGCAGGCTTGTGTGTTTGAAAGTGGCACAGGTGTAGCTTAGTGCTGGGTTCATTGTGCAGGTCCGTGCCCATTATACTCAAGGATTTGTAGTACTGGTGATGATGCATCATCGACGACATCGTTGTTCGTGGATGACTTTTCAATGCCAATTAGCAAATGTTGCCTAGCTACCATTGGGGTGCTGTCATAGCTCATTGACATAGCCCACTTTGGCTGGCACGCATGAATGTTTAATACATCGACATCATCAATGCGTATATGCATCATCAAATTGGAATCATGTATGGTCGTGTTTTATCCAACACAGCTATCCAAGTTGGCTCGTTCCACACCGTTTGCTTTATCCTTGGCAATAAAAATTCTGTCAAGTGGATTTTGTTGACAGCAAACATCCCACTGCTGTTGCACATAAAATTTCCGGTGATCCGGGTTATAGTCAAAGATAGGTCTTTGACATACCTTTCTAATCTAGTCACCACGTTAAGCCATGTCATTCATCTTGTACATTGACTTGCCATCAAAAGCATATGCCGTATTGAATGCTTTCTCGGCACCAGCCTGGGGGCGAAGATCATGCGACAAAAAAAAGTTTGTTGTGTATGCTGTTGATTAAATTCTGCCTAATTATCCATTTGTGGCAGTGCCCGTGATCAACAAGCGCCATCTTTCACACAAGAGATTCACACACTTGTGAAGGTGGATTGATTTGTCGATACATCCAGGGTTCTGTGATGATGAAACCCTTCTTTCCCCTTCCAGGAACGGATGCCATTTGTGTCGGACGGTGAAACGTACAATGGAAGACCAAAGAACACAAGCACTTTGATTGTCTTTAGTGGCGTACGCAACAATGACGAAGCGCAAGCAAACATAGCATGGTAGTTGCGAATACAATAATGATTCACTATCATGGGCGGATCGATAACGATAGCTGTGTAAGGAGGAAAAGGAAGGCCATCAATATCGATAGGGAGTATGGAATAGACAATCAAGTTTTTGTTATGGTGAACCTAAAAGAGCTTGGATGACATGAGTTTTTGTAGATATGCCATGATAGGTAACACTGATAACACATATGCAGCAAGATGCAGCATTTGCAAGGGAATCCATATCGATTATCAAATTTGGCGTGTGTGAGAAAATGGAGGAGAGGGGTTGAGTAGGGGATGTTGTGGAAGGAGGAGGGTTCTGTACTCTCGGGCAATTTCAGTTTTTCGTTTTCTGCAAGCTCATACACACAAAGTCGTGGGTTCTTATCGATTAGAATCTTTTGCCAGCCAAATGCGTTATGTGTGATGAATAAGCACTACTCCGCTATTGTCGGGGGGAGGGAATGGGGATGGCCTGTGCATGGCGAACCCCATGGCTACTACTTGCGGCATGATATCGATTACATTTTTCACACACATACATACACACACGCTATTTGCTTGGATCGCTCTGATATGAATGAGAGAATACATGTGTGAGAAAACATACATTGCAGAAATGATTAAGTTTTACAAAAAGACATGATGTCATTTTTGACATCGTGAGTGTCTTCCATATCCAGGCACTATGTGGCTCGTCATGCTGCATCCTCAAAGCCATGTTCCAGCCAATCAAAATGTTTCGATCGTTATCGATAAACAGATCCATATCCCGTTTTTTTGCTCTCTCACACCCCACCGCCCGCTCACTCACAACGCAGCATAGTCAATACAATAACACGCAAGGTATACGCAACCCCGGCTGTTTCCGACCTTAAAAAGGATCTTCAATCTACCAACACATCACACATCTATATAAATCCCCCGAATTGGATCCCATCCCTTTCTTCTTCACTCTACCTTCCTGACACCTTTATCACTGCTGCTTGCACCTTTTCCGATCGATTACACTACTTGTAAACACACAATGAATATCTACGATCCTAACAATCAACATCTTGGTGCATCCATTCTTTTCAAGAGGTGTGTATCAGTAAACTATACCCCTATGCTCTTTTCTTTTCCTCGTCACCCAACAATGCAAGAGCTCGGATCTGACTTTGTATTTTCTGCATATTCTTTTTTCAGTGCCAGCAACAGCAGTCTCTCACACTTGCCGGTTGAGTTGATCGACATGGTCCTTTCGCACTTAGATACATCAGCACTTTTCCGTTTGTGTCATGTCAACCGATATCTTCGTGCTCTTGCACAACCACGCCTTTTCCATCATGCACAACAAGTGACCATGCGATTATGGATTTGCCAACCACACGTTGTTTCGCATAAGCCGATTGATTTTGTATGGTCACATTGTGACTCAGAACGTAATCGCATGGTCTTTGTGCCGCAGCAAGATGAAGCAGTTTTACCACTTCAACCTGCACTACCCCCTCCTCAGATTGATGGATGCACCGTACTTGTGAAGATGGGCAATTCGAAACGTATCTATAGCATTTCATACAAGGATCGAGTGGTGTCTGTGCCAGTGGATATCGATTCTACAAAAGAAAACCAAGTTGTTTACAAGGGGGATAAGGATGGCGAACAAGATTTGTCCTACGCTTGTGGATGGAAGTTGCGATACAATGTACAACAACAACAACAACGCAAAGCAGTGGTTCCATGCACCTTTGAATGTGATATGGATTTACTTGATCCACAAGTGTTGTCGTCACCTACACCCATTCCAGCAAGTGATAAGATTGGCCCCGAACATGCATTACCATCATCCCATCATCCCATCGAGGAAAACAAAAAACAACAAGCCGATCCCTTTTCTCGTATCTTACCCAATCTCTTTGTCGCTCATGCATGAACAACCCTCTCACACAAACGCACACACACACATTGCATTCATTCATCCACCCCCTCCCTTTTCTTTTCGCATATACCACATGTATTCGCATCTTGTTCTTTCTCGTTTGTATATATTTTAGAAGCATCATGAAAAGAATGAAAAAATGTACATAAAGTGCTTACGCAAAACAACACCTGACACGTGAAAATGTTAATGTACAAAGGGCGGCAATGGGAATATGAAAAAAGGTTGCAAGGTGCGTTTTGGGTATGCATCAGCCAGTGATGTAGTATCCCCGACTCATGACAAGGTACAAAAAGGGAAATTGGCAGGGATCAGTGGGTGGTAGTGAGTGGTGTGATATACAAGGAAGTGGCTGTTGTGATCAATGATTGATCAACTCAGACAACAAAGATCCATGATGGTGGGTATTGTTCTTCGTCATTGGTATAATCGTCGAATAATGAAGTTGGTTGATGTGAGTGATGGCAGTCCATGTTGCTACAATCGGTTGGTATCTTTTCGTCGTCAGCAAAGCCATCTTCGTCGTCATCATCCCTGGCGACAATGTAGGTGACAAGTTTTAGAATAATCAGTAGCACGATGATGGAATACTGCAGTGCCATTATTGTTGTATGTAAGGGGAAAGAAGAGAGAAAAGAGCAAATAAATGAAGAGAGGAGGAAAAGGTGCAAGATTAAAAAGGACGACGCAAAGGCCGCTTCCATTTTTATACATCTCGAAAAGAGCTGGGAGAACTAAGAGAGGAGGAGGATGGTGGTAGTGGTGGGTGATGGTGGGTGATGGATACACACACATACACACGTGCTTATGCTCTGGCGCTAAGGTCATGTCATGCATTCATGTCTCAGCTGACAAAAACGATTATACATGTAGTAATAATTATATATGCACCATGTTGTTTTGCAGAGTTATTGGTCATCCGAGGATCCATGGTCATACTCTTAAAATGGGATCATGCTCTTTGAGCTATTCATTCATGTTCTCACGATCCTCTCCTACTGCTCAGCCAGGTACATGAATGTATGTGTTCTCCTTCATCATGTACCATGTTCAAAAAGCGGTTGCTACTTTACATGGTAAATGTCAATGTCATCCATTTGATAGCTGATGTGAAGCTACAATGCTATCCTGTCGACAAAGCGTGAGGAAGAACCAAGGTACAATCATCCAATTTGGAAATAGGGCAGGATCAATAATGGATCACATGATGATGCAGCACGACAACAATTACTACTGCTTCTGGATTTTCAACATCCTTGTTTGTTATGAAAGTTAAGAGCTTCTTTGCATAGTGTCTCGGTGGGAGGGAGATGGTTGCATTAAATGATATCACATTGCTAATTGAGATAGCGTGAGAAGAAGAATGCTAATGCTTCAATCTGTGCGAGAAGCAACATGTCCTTTGATGCGTATCAATATTCATGCGTTTCATTTGATTCATCAAGAGCTCAGCCTTCTCGTGTTACACACCCGAGGTTTCTTTTATTCTCATCATCTTCGTGCAACACAGCTGTGTGTTCTGAAGAGTGTCGCGTGCCACACTCTTTTTTCTTTTCTTTCTCCTCCTGCTCCTCCTTATTTGCATCATGGCGATCCATGATTTTCCTTCTTTGACCATTTCCTTACAACAAAACAACCACTATCAACCAGGCGATCGTGTCAAAGGCACAGTCTCTATTACTTCTTCTACAACAACACAACTCGATAAACTACAACTCGTATGGCGTGGAACTATAAAGTCAACAATTGGATCAGAAAACGAGCAATGCATCGACCTCTTCCACGAGACTCGCCAAATCGACCTCAATGTAGTGCATCGCAATCCCACAGCGCCAGCATTTGTTCTTGCGACAGCCCAATCGCCACCCCCATCGCCATTGATCGTCGAGGAGCAGAGCGATCTGTTGTTTGATCTCTATCTTGTAAAGGGAATGCCTAGCAGCTTGGAGGTAAGTAAACCAACACATGGTATGGGGATATGGGATACTTAACCTCCATGTGCATAGGTATCCGAACCACAAGCCAAAGTTCAAATCAGCTACTCGATAGAGGTTACTGGATACTACAAGGACGAGCTTTTGCATCATCAACTCTATGTACCGGTTGTAGCAACAATGGGGCAACATCAAATAGACGAGCAAGAGGCTGATCAGCAGCAGACAAATGAAGTGGCCTATCTTGTGGAATCATCATCCAATTCCCATGATCCATGTAGATCAGCAGCTAGGATTACTGTACCATGCAAGGTAATCCCTCAAGGTATTGTGTTATGGAAACTATCAAAAGGATTCATATAATTAATCGTGCAACATGGATGGTATTAGGGATGATATTGCCTGTGGTGGGTCATATTTGGCATGATCATAGCCGTTCGCGGGAAAAGGTCATCTCTCTTGGGTTGATTCGATACATAACGATTACTTGTCATGGAAGGTAAGGTACATGGGATGGTTATGGTATACGCAGTATTGATGAAGGAGTTGACTATGTAGAGAGGAAACGCTTGTGCACGAGATGGATACAGCCCAATTTGATCTGGAGCTTGTGGAACACCAGGATTATGCAGTACAAACACTCTCACAAACCCTGTGGATCCCACCTGCATGCATACCATCAATGGATACATCAGCTGGACGTCTAGTCAATGTCAATTATCAAGTTCGACTCAAGGTGGATATTGAGCCTGATGCCGTGTATCGACATGCCGACAATCAGCATACAACAGATACCATGGCAGTGGATGTACCTTTGATTATATATGCCAAGGGCAACGATATTGCTGCAGCACCTTCACCATCAGCATCCACGGATACCCAACTCTCACAATCGATGTCACCACCATCATCATCATCTGTTGGAAGACTACGCAACAGTGTCAACCTTGGTAGCAATGGCAAAGTGAGAGAACGATTCAAGAGCATGTTCAAAAAGCGTGATTCTGCTCGACTAAACGCTTCGACAACGATCGACACTAGCAACAATACCAGCAAGCTCTCATCAGCAACTTCACTTCGAGGTGCATTTGGATCCCTGAAAATCAAAAGCAGTAACAACGTCAACAATGATAATCGAGCATCATCCATCAATACGACTACGCCTTCTTCCTCACGCAATTCATCAGCTGCTGGAAGCTTGTCACCACCCCATTCATCCTCTTTACCTCCAAAAGCTTTTTCAAGTCTTCCTTTATCTTCTCCATCACCACCTCCGCCTCCTCCACAATTATCCTTCTCAACACCTGAACCTATATCGCAAGATGATACGACACCAACAATGCCACCTTCGTTGCCTATTTTACGATCCCTTTCCATCAAGCATCCATCTTCCGCGGAACGATCCACATTGCAGATGATGACATCAACAACGGCAACCACGGAACCAGTTCCACCCATACCATTAGTGGAAGGTGGCGGTGTATATACTTTTCACATATTCGCAGATTCATCGGACGAAGAAGACAATGTGGGGGAAGAATCCAAGATTCAGGGAACACAAGCATCGTCATTGTCTCGGCCAGGTTCCTTTCTTAGCAGTGTGGGAAAACAAGGGTCCCTTGATACAACGTCGTATAATCAATACAACGAGGAGGAAAATGGCAAACAAGATGTTGATGGTAGCGATACCGAGGATACCCAAATTTACACCGTGTCAAGTTCAGGCATTGGAAAATTGGATCAGGTCAGCGAAAGTAGTGACGATGATGAAGACCCAGGAGAGAACTCTTCCGAGGAAGAAGACGACAATGATTTGCTGAGCCTATTAGCAAAACGAGAGCGCCGGATTGAAAGAAAAAAGGAACGTGGATCTCCCAGCAATAGACAAAGACGATAAAAAGTACAATGACGCAATAGACGATAAATGTGAATACATTCTCTTTGTTTTTAATAATATGCTCAAGGTGTTTGTTATGTATGGAATGAGAAGAAATGGATGTGTGTGTGAGAGATTGGAATGGTGGATGAGATGTATGCGTTGTTGCTTAATGAACGTTACGAACAACGTCGTCAACGGCCTTGGCAAAGTAATCAACATTGGTAGTCGAGAGACCAGCCATGGAAATACGACCATTGTCGGTCATGTAAATATGATACTTTTCTTTGAGGACCTTAACTTGAGCGGCGTTGAGACCAGTAAAAGAAAACATGCCGATTTGATCGGTAATGTGATGCCACGTGCCAGGGGTCTGCAATTGTTCGAGACGCTCACGTAGCGCCTTGCGCATGTCGATGATACGATTAGACATGTAGCTAAGATTCTCCTTCCATTCGCCATACAACATGGGATCATTCAATACAATGTCAACGATACGTGAACCATAAGCAGGTGGATTGGAAATCTCGGCACGCTGGAGCTTTTCAATTTGAGATCGCACTTGTTCAGCATGCTTGGATACCACCGTCAAGTTACCAGCACGTTCGCCATATAGACCAAAGTTCTTTGCAAACGATTGTGCAACAAAGAGTTCAAATCCACGCTCCACAAAGTAACGCACCGCCCATGCATCACGATCCAAATCACCTGATGCAAAGCCTTGGTAGGCACAATCAAAGAATGGGAAGTGGCCCTTGCGTTCCATCACTTCAGCAATGCCTTTCCATTGTTCTTGAGTAGGATCAACACCTGTAGGATTATGTGCGCATGCATGCAATACGAAGATGCTGCCATTGGGTGCTTGCTCCATTGTTTGTAACATGGCTTCATAATCCAAACCACGTCGTTCAGCATTCCAATAGGGATACTCCTTGACTTGGAACCCTGCCATTGTGAAGATGTTGCGATGGTTGGCTATACAAAATGAAATAAAATTTAGTCGTTTGCTCTTTCAATAAACATCCCATCCTTCTTGATCCAAAGTTGCTTCCCCTATAGCCACACATCCTCTCTCGCTATAGCACAACTACAGCACCATCAGACTGCGACAACCTAATGGCCATACCCCGGTCGTCGCCGTTTGATGTGTCATTATCCCCCGCACTTTTCCGACACACAGCACGAGCTTACGCGTGTTATTCATAATGACTTACCCCACGTTGGTTTCGAAATGTAGCATTCGTTGCTATTTTTGTAAAACTGCGAGAGGAAAACAGCACCCGTATGATTGGCACCTGTACCAGAGATGGTTTGGATGGCAGCCACACGACCTTCCTTAATGGCTGGAGAGTCAGCACCCAAAATCAGGCGGGCTGCTGCTTGGGTATATGATGGAGTACCAGTAATGGGCAAGTATTCATGGTCCAGACTATCGTTTTTGAATAGGATAGCATCCGCCTAGTACAATAAAAGTGAAAAGGGTAAAAAGAAAAGAGTCAATCCCTTATTCTGGTACGTCTCATGCAGCATCCCGCGGGATAAATGCAAACCTTCTTAACCACAGGCAACACATAGGGCTTCAATTCATCCGTACGAAAGGCACCTACACCCACATTGATCTTGTTGGCATCCGTATCGGCCTTGTATTGAGCCGTCAAGTTGAAGATAACATCAGGAGGTGCTTGAGGAACACTATTGAAGGATGAAACGTCGTCTAATGTTGCATCCCACCAATAAATGAAACCGTAAGTAACCCATATTGATAACAACTTGCTCTTCCATCTACCATGGTAAGATGGTGGATAAAGAAAAAAAATACTCACTGGTCATGGTTGTGTATGTAGGTTGCGTGATAGATCAGACAAGGGATATGTAATGGAAAGAGAAACGATCGTCTGATGCGGCTGGTGTCAGCTTTATAGTATGACTGGCATTGAAACGGTTAGGATAATTTCCCCTTTCAGGCAGCCCATACAAAGTACACGATATTTTTTTGTGAGCTGTTTGTTGAGGACGCAGCTACCGCCCTGGGCAAATAACAACAACATCCCATACGTAAACAAAGGGAGTAATAGGGTGTATGGGTTGGCACTAATTTCCGCCTCTTTTCTAATCACTACTTTAAAGCACCCAAAACAAAAGGCGTGTAGCATAAAAAGCAACGGCATATTGCAAAGTGACAGGCCAAGCCAAGTTCCCCAGAGAAGCCCGAGTTTTGCCGCCACCTGTGTAGCACTGGGAGCTGAGCGGGTTGTTTTTGCCACTTTGTTGCGTGAGAAGGGTTAGGCGAATCGTGCGCTTTTCCAGATCTGGTTGGCTCCGTTTCTTTGTATGTTTGTTAACGTGCGCTCCTTGTGTACCCTGTTGATTTTCGGCCAATCGTTGAGGAGCATACCTTGTTTGAGCTTGCTGCTCAATCCGACTTTGATTGGCGACCATGTGGTATTCAACAACTATCATCATGCCAATACGAAACGCCTTCCGACATATCCGCAAGAGCTAATTCTTCATTCAATAGACAAAAAAGCTGCGTTAAAGCATTGTCGTGAAAAACATCAGCTATCAAACAGCAGCAACAACATCAAAGGTCTAGACACCTTTGCTATTTGGCTCAATACAAGTAGAAAGAGACGACACATTGTTACACATTCAGGTGTCTAAAACGTAACCGGGACCTTAGTGTGGGCATTGTTCCTATCAATTCTTTATATACAATTGTAGATTGGTAACAAAAAAGGGCGTTAAAAAAGCTCCTTATCTCTTTTTACTTTTGGAATGGGATGGTGGGGTAAAGAGATAAGGGTGGCACAGACCGCCCAATGTCGGGAATGAGATGTGCGATCAGACCAACAGGGAGCTTACATTCAAGGTTACACCTTGATGTGTGTTTTGGATATACGGCTCATTATCGACAAAGCATTCCGTCGAATGTCGCGATTAATGCATCCAAACATGCCGCACACATATACGCATGTTGATGCGTGTTTGATATTGTATATTTATGAACACCCACGTTTTTTACTTCTCACACACTTTTTCTCGGCCCCTTTTGTCTCTCTCTCGCTCAATCTCTCATTTTGGCTGCCAATGATAACATTGTAGATCCGCCTGGCACATATACATGGGTATGTCTATTTCTTTATCGAGAAATGTCTATTCTGTCGTTCGCTTTGTAAATGCACCTTGTATTCTATAAAAACCTGTTCCAGACACATACACGCGCGTACATGTGTACAAAATCTCTTTTTCATTTTTGATCTCTCGGTGATAAGACTTCACGACATTGTATTCCTTCCCTTTTCTTTTTCGTTTTACAATCACCACCCCTCTCTATCTCTCTCTTCTCGGCTCATTGACACCTTTACGTACCTCATTTTAAGATGACGTTTTCCTTTTCTTCGCCAACATTAACGACAACCGATATTCTCGATCGTACCTTGCATAAGCAACAACATCAAGCTGGCATGACGGATTTCCCATCAGCTCTTGAAAAATGGATGATGCATGATTCCCCTACTGACATTCTTGATTGTGAACTCCCAACCTCGCTTGTAAAGCAGGATTATGACGCAACACCTGCATCTGGATCGCCCACTTCACAATACAATGACGTGCTCAACGATATTTCACCCTTCAATACACCGAGGCGACAACATTACACATTGGGCCTGGATAGCAATGTAATACCAAATCGCCCTTTGAAAAAGGGGTTGGGGAGATATGCAGCCTACGATGCTAACTATTTACCTTGTTATCTTGATCATCTACACTTTCCCCAATATAGGACATGATGCATCCAACAAGCTTGTTAACACCAAACGAAGCAGCCTACTTTGAGATGTCAGAGTATCTCGTACATACTCCTGAGAGTGAACAAAAGTAAGTATGCAGCATCAAGATACAAGAGGGGCATCATCATGGGTTGTGTGTGTGTGCGTGATGCGAGTTTGGGGGGAAGGTGGGGGATTTGGATGGTTGTGCATGGTGAATGTTGTCATGTTCTTGTTGATACGAAAATAGTATTATTGTGTATAGTGATGATGCTTCATCGCCCACCAGCATCGAGCATTGCGTTTCGCATTCAACCCGTGACATGCAGCTCACCAAGTCTATTACTGCTGCCAATCATGATCATGAAAAAGGGTGAGAAAATTACGATGAAACTGTCAATAATTCGAAACGCTGATCATGTATCTCTTTGTTGGAAAAAAAGACTTCATATTCGTGTGATTGGTGCTCCTGACAAATCGCGTGTGGAAACACAAACACGTCTATGCATCCAGTTGGTGACAGGTAGCGGAACCAAAGTGACCGATTGGCCTTATCTGAAACTCCCGGAAAGACTTCTTGCGCATTCACGTCTGAAACGTGCTGCACAGCATCAACAACAGCAAGAGCTGCATGATAAACAACGCGCACAGCCACTATCGTCTTCAACGTCAAAACATTCATCCCCTTCACAAAACAATGACGACAACGTGGAAAAGGATGCACTTCATCTTGATGCAAAGGTTGTATGTGCTAGTCAGCCTGATGTGGCTGTGAAGGTGTGTCAAGGTTGTATCCAACGGGAGCGAAAACGAGCCGAGCGATCAAAAACAAGCGAGTACAACCGAATCTTGGAAGAATTTCCAGAACAAGATCGTATCTTACTTTTCAATTGTGGGCCCATGGTTAGCTTCAGCTCTGGAGATGCCATCCTTCCCACTCGCATTGCTTGTTATTGCCGCCATCATAGCGAAAAGAAAGGCTTTTGGTATGTGGTGCATGTGACGCAATCCCATGCAGCTTTTTGTTGCTTATGCATCATGTTTGTCTATGTAGCGTGGAATTTACGATTCGTAACAGCAAAGGACAAGAGATTGCAAAAGGTTCCTCACCACCGATTCTTATCACCGACGATCACAAGAGTACTCGGCATAAAGGTCGGAAACGTAGCCGAGCCAGCATGGTGGCCGATACAACAACATCATCATCCACCGATGACTTATCAGACAAGGGTACTTTTACGCCTCCTACTTGCATTACACCACGTCGCATTAGCCATGGTGGTGGATCATCATCGTCATCATCGCCATCAACGGCATCATCCGTCAATAGCTTTTTTGATTTCATGGTGCCTGGATCTTTACCCACGCCCAATGGTGATGATGAAAAGATAAATCACCGCCACCACAGCAGCAGCAGCAACAGTCGTCGTACATCATGTTCTTTCTTTGGGGATGTGTCACCAATGACAACAACAACAACAAGCGGTAAAAGCCTCATACCCACGTTGATGGCAGCAAGGCACCACCACAGCAACCCACAAGTGGATCGATTGGTACCATCCCAAGGCCCTATTTATGGTGGTGTAGAAGTGACGGTTCTGGGCAGTGGATTCTATCAAGGGTTGACATGCTTTTTTGGTGAGCACGAAGCCGAGACTATTTATTGGAACCCCAACACGTTGGTTTGTGTGTTGCCGCCAAATACACAGCCAGGGCCTGTTGTTGTTACTTTTAAATCCCACTCGCTGGTTCTCGAAGGCCATGATGTACCGCTATTCACCTATCATGATGCTAATGAGCAAGCCTTACTTGAGCTGGCACTTCAAGTGGTCGGCTTGAAAATGACCGGCAAGCTGCATGATGCTAAGCACATTGCAATGAAAATTGTTCAAGGGAGTGGCAACAATAATGGCAACGGGTCATTGTTTTCTTCATCAGCTGCTATTTCTACTAGTCCCTTATTGACGTCCTCATGAATCAAATCAACCATCCATCATGCTACTTTTTCTTCTTCTTCTTCTTCTCCTCCTCCCAGTATTGTCTTTGCTGTTTCCTTGGAATTCTTTTCATTGCATTTAAAACACCACACACACACACACATTCATTTGCATTCCTTTGACACTCTTGTACTTTCTGATGTTTCTTCTTATCATTAGACCAAATAAAATGATTGCGTACAACAATACATATGAAGCAATGGCTAGTATCCAGTAATAGTAGGGGTTGCCATGGAGATCTGACGACTCAAAGAAGGGTACAACAATGCATGCTTGAAAACATCACGAAGCCGCATGTAGACATCGTTACTATATCTGATGATGGATTTATTGTATGAACCAATGGTGTGTGGGTATCTTGTCGACTATCAAGAAGGATGCCATTGAATTGGAGTGGATCACGTGCTCCGCTTGATGTCTTTCCAGCGGCCAATTTTCTTTGGGTGGAGCTTCCCTTCTTTGTATTCAACCCTATTCCGTTGATGAGCGAGCTGACATGTCGCGTCTTGCCAGGAGCCCATGCGAGAGAATACACTTGTCATGCCCATGTCCCATGGATGAGCCACCTTGATTTACTCTACGCTGCGATTGCTTGTTTGGTGTACATTGGTGTCATGGTACGTTGAAAGCGAAGCACATATCGTGTGACCTTGCAGAGTTCGATATCTAAATTGCATGATAGCCACGACCTTTTCTATATTGGCCGGGAGTGATATGTGTCTGGTTTTGGCTAAAGTCGCGGATAGTCATACAAGGTAAGGTGGATCATGATGCATGATACAAGGGAAATGGGCCTTTTTTTGTGAGGTGGTATTCAAATGTTGGATGCATCATCATCTAGAAAGCATTCTTGCCATGAAAGATGTTGGTATTCAGGTGCGTACGGTGTACTGGGGTGGTCGCACTGTATCACGGTTTATCGATCGACGCAAGATCCACGATATCATCATCAACGAAGGAATCACCATGTGGCAGATCAAGTCGTATATGGCCATCATTGTCAAGAATCAGGAGCATATGATTGTTGTCTTTGAGGTAGGATTGAAGCTCAAAACACGTGTAATGATAAGAGTTTAACAATGACCTTTGTCTTTGTCCTGGTGTATGACAGCATCTATTACCAAGATTACGCCCTACTCTTCTCGAAGCCTATGCTGGTACACGAGCTATCATCTTTCCTCATGCTTTCGATGATTAAGGTAATGCATATCCAGGAAACAGGGAATCGGGTGGATTGAGATAGGAAGATGATGACTAAAGATTTTTGCTATGTAGCATACAACAGAAATCCTTGCTCGACAATCTAGCTTGTGTAAATACAAGATACCTTGCAAATAGCCATTGCTTATGTATATTACAATTCTACTACCTCAATATAATCTTTCAACATACATGTCATTCTGGACTTTGAAAGTGTAATGGAGAATCTTTATTGAACACAATGGTGGATGCGGCAATGTATTCAACCTGAATGTGGGCGTCACCAAACAATAGAGCTATTAACCATTAGCAAGTATGGTGTCATGATAAAAGAAGCAGAGCCATAGCCATGTCTTCATTTAAGCAGTACTATAATCCATGCCGTCCATATCAATGATTGAATGGCATGCCCATCCCAATGAGCTATTGCAGCATGCATTAATGTCCCAATACCAAGACCACAATGAATACGAAAAGGGGGATTGTTATGAAAGATGTCAACAAAGAGAGATGAGAAATGATTTATTCCTTCACATCCTGTTTACAAAAGAGTCTCGTAAGGAACGGGAGCAATGGTCTGGGGGACGTTGTGCTTGGTAGAGACGTGGCGAGCTTCACGGGGTTGAGCTGGAAGACGCTTCAAGTTGACCTTGACTATAAAATGGGATCACACACACACACATAGGATGAGTTTTTTTTATGATCTCTGTAAATATCCTTGAGCCATTCATTCAATACATACCACCAGTCTCCTTGGCAGCCTTCTTCTTTTGAGCGTTCTCCTTGACACGCTCCAAGAATTCTTGACGGCACTTGGAGTGCTTGACGTGCTCGATGCGGATGTTAACACGCTTCTCCATATAACGGTTGCCGACACGCTTGTGGACGATGACACCGACAGCAGACTTGGTGACGTTGTAAACAACACCGGTACGGCTATAATAGATTGAATGGATCAATTATCATTGTTTCGTATGATAGAGAAAGAGAAAAGAGTATTTACCCGTGGTAGAACTTGTGGGGCATGCCCTTTTGGACAGCAGCATTGGCCTTGATATCGACGATATCACCAACCTTGTAGGTCTTCAAGTAGGTCGACAAGGGAATAGCGCCATGCTCGCGGAACTTGCGCGAGAACATGTGGCGAGTACGAGCACGGACTATACAAACATAATATCAATATCGAGAAGCCAAATGGGGTCCATGTTGAAACGCATTGGTTGCACGGGGCGATTACTTACGACCGAAGGAGTGAGGCATTCTAGCAATTGAAGAGACAATTGAGTCATTTGGATATCAAAGTATGAGTTGAGTAGGTGCACGCTTACCTGTCAGCGTATTACCAGAAGGAAGAAAGAGGGATTCAACCTCGCACGCCAGCAAAAATTTTATTTTTCGGTCCTGCAGACAGCGCCTGGTCCACCCGCAAAAGATACATAGCAACCATCCAATCCCACTTGTTCTCAGGACAACCACCATAGCAACGTACTCAATGTCGATTAGCTACCATATCCGTTTATCATTGATGTGGCATCATGAATACATACATGCTATTCTACCTATATCTTGTTAATGCGTTCATATCATAGGGATGATGTTCTTGGGAGGCTTATACGATCTGCCAATCATATGATCCATAATACTTCTTTGGATAGTTTGGCTAATTGTAGTAGCATAAACGCACGTTTCTATAGTAACATGATCCTCATTGGGGGGATTGCCTCTTTCATTTTTGATATTCCAAATGGACATCCATGGTATGTTTGTATTGATGATCATCCATTCAAGTCTATATACAAAGGTGTGGCATGATGCGTTGGGCGGGGAACTAAGCCTCAGAAAAAAAAAGATTGCATTGGCGGGAAGTGTATAGTAAATCAAGACAAGCGGACAGATCCTATTTTTTTTCCTCCTCTTTCACCTTAACCATGACTGGTGCTTCGCGTACTTACAGCAAGACCTCCAAGGTCCCTAAGCGCCCCTACGAGTCCGCTCGTTTGGATCAAGAATTGAAGCTCGTTGGCGAGTATGGTCTCAAGAACAAGCGTGAGGTCTGGCGTGTCGGTTTGACCTTGTCCAAGATTCGTCGTGCTGCTCGTGATTTGCTTACTTTGGACGAGAAGGACCCCCGTCGTCTTTTCGAGGGCAATGCCTTGATTCGCCGTTTGGTTCGCATTGGTGTCTTGGACGAAAGCCGCATGAAGCTCGATTACGTCTTGGGTCTCAAGATTGAGGACTTTTTGGAGCGTCGTCTTCAAACCCAAGTCTTCAAGCTCGGTCTTGCCAAGTCTATCCACCACGCTCGTGTCCTCATCCGTCAACGTCACATCCGTGTTGGCAAGCAAGTCGTCAACGTGCCTTCCTTCATTGTTCGTTTGGTATGTATTTTGACAACGTTCATGACAACTTTATTGAATCGATCCACATTTACTTACATCATTGGCTATAATAGGATTCCCAAAAGCACATCGACTTTGCTTTGACCTCTCCCTATGGTGGTGGTCGTGCTGGTCGCGTTAAGAGAAAACGTGCTAAGGCTGCTGAGGGTGGTGATGATGAGGAGGACGAAGAGTAAATTGTTTAATCCTTCATTAATAACATTATCCATTCATCGCATTGTTGTCTGCCATTTTATGACTATTCATCATCTTTGGAAGTGTTTGGTGGTTATCTGTTGTATGTGATCGTCTATGTTTGTGATAAGAAGACATCATGTGACCTTTATATGATATGCCATGGTATTGACAAGGCAACTACCTACGTGAACTTGTGGGATGGGATCGATGGCAATGAAGCTAACTAGAAGATCTTCTAAAAGGGGATAACTTTAATATGTTGATATGGGAGCCATTGCCTACAAGTGATTGCAGCTAAGAGAACATCATTCCATGGGATGCCTTTCTTATCAGGTACAACAGCATGGTGACAAGCTCAGCCACTGTGGTCGGCATGTTTCAAAATCCCAGGCTGCAGCAACTGTAGCTAGACGCTTTCTCTCTCACTCTACATAACCATTACCTTCTTCTCTTTTTCACAATGCCGTTTTCTTTGTATGGTGATTTGCCTGAGCCTTCATCAGACAAGTCGAACAATGTAAAAAACACCCCTACAACTACTGGCTCTTCTTTATCTGGGCTTTATGCATCATTACCAGCACCTGGTGCAAGCTCATCTTCCGCAACAGCAGCAACAACTTCCACTACCACTACTACCACTTCTACTACCAACACTACCAATACGACCCCATCACCTACTACTAGTACAACAACTATAGCTATTGAAACAGCATCCGAGACTAGTAATAATGCACCTACATCATCACCGGCACCCACGACTGGCGTCAAACCTGCAGGTATTCAGGGCGACTATCATACAAAAGCAGATATTTGTTTTTCTCGAAAACAAATGAGATACGAGATATTTCATTATGAGATGGATCTGATGCCAACCGATATTCTTTCCATGTGTGCTGTGCGAGCGTAGGCTGGTCTTCCTTTGGTCATTTTCGTCCTGTCATGCGTAAACCTACCATTCAGGCCAAGCCCAAATTGAATCGCACCGTTATTCCCGCTGGTGCCAAGGTGGTTTCTACTACGACCGTGAGTAAAGATCCATCCAAAATGGAACAAGATGCAGCAGCTTCCACTTTGCCATTACCTCCACCTCCACCACCATCATCATCGAATCCGATTGAAGACACGATCCCATCATTACCACGCCGTTTGGATGCCAGCTATTTTACAGCCACGGATGATGTCAATGGTTTTCGTGCAAAGGTAAAGAAGAGAACAATAAAAGAACGATATCAAGATCATATCCCATTCACATTCACTTTAGAAAAAGGGTAAAGGGAAAAAGGGGAATCAACAACAACAACAACAGCCCATTGCTATTGATTTGAATGAAGATTATGATCCACTTCGACCCAATGATTATGAACAATACAAGGAAGATCGACGTCAACACAAAGAGGAAGTGAAACGACGACAAATGGAAGAGCGACGTAATAGACAAAGACAGCGATCCATGTCACCTTATTCATCCGATTCACGTTCTCGATCACGCTCAAGATCAAGGTCAAGATCACCTAGTCCACGACGACCTGCTCGTGAGTATTTACCTTCATCATCCATTGACTATAGGGTAGATCACTCATAGATGGAAATTAGGTGCATTTGCCCCTCCACCCAACTTGTATCAGCGTTCAAATTCACCATCTTCTCCACCTGCTTCTCGACGCTCACCATCACCACCATCCGAACGTATACAACCCAAAGCCAACATCGATTTGAACGAATCAGCTGACGATGCTTATATGCGTCGCCTAAGAATGAGTAGCCAACGAGCTGCTGTAGCACAACACCAGGAAGAAGATTCAAGGTAAATATGGATCTATTTCGTAAAAAAAAGAGAGATACCTAAAACATCTGGTACAGAAATGATCGAATGCCAATGGATGAGGATGAAGATGAGGATATGGCCATGCGTTCTGGATTAGGTGGAGCTCAAGATGTAGCACGCAAAGTGATGGCAAAATATGGATGGCAAGAAGGTCAAGGATTAGGACGTGATGAAGATGGATTACGAGAAGCTCTCAGAGTACAACCGACAGGTCGTGGTAGCGGTGTCATTGTCAATCACAGCAGTGTATCGCCATCACCTCCTCCTCCTCCTCCTCCCCAATCACGTACAAGTACACCATCACCTGTTGTTCTCCTTACAAACATGGTTGGTCCTGGTGAAGTAGATGACATGCTTCAAGAGGAAACGGCAGATGAATGTGGCAAATATGGCCAAGTAGAACGATGCTTGATTTTTGAGGTATGACAAATCAGAGCATGCTATGCGATTTAATATGATATTGACATGCATGACTGTTATATAGGTTCCAGGTGGACAAGTACCTGAAGATCAGGCTGTACGCATTTTTGTGAAGTTTACACGCGTTGAATCTGCCATGGCAGCATTGAATGATTTGAATGGCCGTTTCTTTGGAGGACGTGTGGTGACGGCAAGGTTTTTTGACAATAATCGTTTCGATCGACTTGATTTGGCTCCTGGGCCTAATGAGATATGAGCAAATTATTTGTTCTAGTTGGAATAAAAGAATATCCCACTGTATAACAAAAGTAATGCTGCATTCATGGTACATAATCGTCATGGGTATCAAAGAACTGCTTTCAGATATTACAATGCATAATGAGAAGGGAAATGGGTTGGATTTACAATGTGGTCATTGCTGTGGTCTTTACAATACGTGCCATCCTCACAAAACCAGTCCAACAACCCTCCATCCCTCCAGCATGGTATGTTTACAAGGACCACAACAAGCCATCCACCAATTAAAAGAATAAACAATCAGGCCCTTTGTCTTCTCTCTTTTTCCTTTACCACAACATTCACAAGTGGATTTGTACAGTCAATCTTGCATAAATCTTTATATCATACAATGCATCAAGTTCCACACACGTGACGAGGTCCAACTCAGGAAGAAGGAAGGTCTTGTAGAAACTTAGAAATGATTGGCAACGCAATGTCTTATACGCACAAGTAATCTTTTAATCCAACATCATTCACAAGAGATACGTTAATGAGAGGTACAATGTTGAGTTGCTCCAATGGGGGAAAATACATCGATGAAGAAAGGTCCTATCCTTTGGGCGTGCATGGTGCAAGGGTGAATGGATCAACGGTGGGATGGACTTGATGGTTGATGGCGAATGATATGAAGCATAACGTGTCAAAGTATGCAGATGGATGGTGATGGTGGTTTGGTTGTACATTGGTTGACAGGTTGCACAAAGGATGATGGTAGTAGCTGCCATGGAATACAGAGTGAAGTACGGTAATTGGATCACGTAGCATGATGAATGGTCGACCTGACAACGGATACATAAGAACAAGGCCCTTTTTCCACGCGTTACCTACATTCATATCCCTCCATCCCATGCACCAAGGGATACCCAGATCCAGATCCATATCAATATCCATATCCATATCCATAACGATCCGTATGTATCAAAGCAAGTTGCTGCACGTAAACAAAGCTGCTTCCATGCAATGGCAATCTGCTGTTCACGTGATAAAGGCTGCAAGGCATCTTGCTGCAAATAAAGAACGCTGCTGGAGACAATGAAGACTATGCTGATGGGAACTGCTGCTGCAATGCACGCTGTTAAGTTTGATTATGGTAGAGGAATGTACAAGAGAGTGTGTTGTAGTAGAGTGACAAGAAGGCTGCGCCATGAACTCGGCATTGAGTCCAAGACAATCGGATCAAGAGAATTGTAGGATCGACATGATGGGTTGAAACAGGACAATCGTTCGTAGATGGTAGCTGTACGTACTTGAATGGGACAGCAGCTGAGAATGGTGGGAGGAAGAGACAATCAGCAAGGAGAGGAAGAACTGGAAATCAAAATGGGTTGATCTGATGTTGAATGATACTTTGTACAAGCGTTGCTCAATCAAGTCCTCTTGGATCATGAAAGTTAAAGGATGGGGATGATGATCTGGAGCAGGACAATCGTTCATATGCAATGGATTGGGAAACAAAGATGATTGGGAGGAATGGGCTATCAAGTGGCAGTTTACGTATAACTAACCAGATAAATTTTTCTCATTTTGGATGATACTTCTGTGTTTGAGCATTTTTCAGTCAAATCCTCTCGGATCAAGAAACTTCAATGATGGGCATACTGGGCTGGAGCAGGAGAATCGTTCACATGCATTGGGTTGGGCAACAAAGATGATTGGGAGGACTGGGCATTTTAGGAACTACTCCTAAATAGTGTACAAGTATCATGCATCGCCTGTGCTGACTGACTGAAGTTACACAACACGTCCCTCTGTATCTTTGGCTCTATTGTAGTCATGCTACTTTACAATGAATGGCTCTTTCCGATAAAAGTCAAAAATCGCAAGGGTCAAAAGGACCCCCTGATAAACCTCGCACATACACCTCACTTTTTCACGACAATGAAGTGGTAACCCTTTATCAACATGAAAAGACCAACACTCGGCAAATATGGCGACGTGCAGAACACCCCATTCACTTCTTTTTTGACTTATCTCGTACAGTAATAAGCGATGAACAATTTCGACTAGCACTCTATGAATCACCTCTCAAAGATGCTGCTCATGGCGCCATCATCCACAGATCCGGAAGCACACCACTGCAGAAGTTACATTCGATGATCAAGAAACTGTTGAACAAACTCAAGCATGAATCACCATGAAAGATGGTACGCAATTGTTTGGATCCTTCCTATTCCTGAAGAATGGGAGATGAGTCAAAGGTCAATCTCACACTTTACAACCGTACAACTCTAACGCAAGCCCTCATTGACGCTTTGAAACGCTTTCGGCAATATCCTTGAGCTTGGCATTTATCTTGAACAACACTACTTCACCGGCAGAAACAGCATATCTCAACACTAACCCCAGAGAACTACACCCTGTCAAAAACTTTTCATATACAACCTCAGCAATTATCTCATTCAATCCCAGTCTCCCGAAAAGATGGAACCTATCCCACTCGCGTGCATGCCACGTGGTCGAAAACGCGTTGTGCCATGAACCTGGACACACACGCATACAATGCCCTTATCGACCAAAACCACGTTGTTATTATTGTCAAGAAACAGGACATTTACGTAAAGACGCAATGGTGTTAAATCTGCTCCCGCTCCCATTGACTCGCAAGCGCCTACTACAATCGCTGCCGTTACTCCGACTTCCCGCAACTCCAACTCAAGTCCATCTAAACGTAAACGATCGCCGACATCACCACCCCAACAATCCTCGTTCAATTTCACTCCACCTGCCAAACTCACTACTGATAACCCTCTGCCCCAATGATAAACCGCATGATCCAATTACAGACCTCAATACTACCCCTCCTTCCCTTGAGAGTAAACCCACCAGCATCAATACGACTCCTCCTCCTATTAGCAAACCCACCAGCATGGACACATCACCACCATCATCATCCAGTGACCCTCCCATTGATGCTATGGAAACCTAGTTTTGGGGTTTTCTAACCCATCCTTGCCTTGTCTTCCTCCCTCCTCTTTTTCCCTCTTGTTTGGTCTTCGTGACCCATCTTTGAATTATTTATACTTTGTTTCTTCTCACTCCCGGTTTCAGACCCAACTTGTTCTTGGTAGTGGCCTTAGCAGCCCACTACTTAATAAACCATTATCAATACAAAAAAAAAATGCTACTTTACAATGAACAAAGAACTCTTTTCATATAGCATCATGCTTACAAACATAAAGGTGCCTGTATCTCTGAACTTTACAATGAAACGTGGGGTCTTCAATAGAACCATGTTGCTCGGCGGGGTGAAAGCGATCTTGTGTCAAACTATGAAGTCCATCGTGGCCAATCTCCGGATTTCGCAAATGTCGCTACCAGCCAAACTGGATCACAGGGGTCGACCTCTTCGACGACGACGACCAAAAAACATTTTGGGCTAGTTGCGACATTGAACGTGAAACTTACACACAAGGTGCTGTTGGCCAAGCCGAGCACATTTTGCTAATAAAAACCCCACGTTTCGTGTAAAGTTTGGAGATGCAGGCTTTCTCATGCTGTAAGCATGATGCTATGAGAAGTGGTCTTTGTTCATTATCAAGTATGGAACCCCTGGAGAGCCAAAGATGCAGAAGGACCTCTTTGGGTAACTCAGCTAAAAAGTCAGGACTTCAGGGACAATGCATGAAAGGTACGCAACCCTCACTTTCATGTCATACATGGCAGCTAATAGCCACTTTTGTGCATTCCCAACTTTTGTGCATTCTATTGTAGGTGGACGATGCTCCTGCTCTAGACATTCATTTCCATGATTAAAGTAGGTTGATCCGAGTTGATTTGGTTGTGTTACGCTCACACAAGATTACATCGGTTGAGCTACATCGAGAGCGTGCTTTGCTTATGTCCAGAGTGATGTAATCTCTCTTTGACCGCAGCTCAGTCAAGTCAGCTCGGATCAACCTACTTTAATCAAAATAGTCTGGAGCAGGGAGCATCGTTCAACAATAGTGATTGGATAAAAGTGGCCGTTAGCTAGCAATACATGCCTGTTCGTAGATGATCCGTAAAGTAATTATACATTGACCATTCATGCAAACGTAGCTGTGTTACACAACCCTCTACATCTTTTGGTTCTCCGTCCTTTACTTTTACATTAAGAAGGAGCCACTTTTCATATAGCATCACGCTTACAAACATAAAAGGTGCCTGTTTCTCCAAACTTTTTACAATGAAACGTGGGGTTTTGAATAGAGCAATGGGCTCGGCTTGGCCAACAGCACCTTGTGTGAAGAGTTTCACGATCAAGCTTGCCAATCCCCAGATTATGATGGCGCCACCAGCCAAACTGGATCTGGGGGTCGGCTCTTCGACGACGACCAAAAAAATATTTTTTGGGCTGAATTTGCGACATTGAACGCGAAACTTTCACACAAGGTGCTGTTGGCCAAGCCGAGCCCATTGCTCTATTCAAAACCCCACGTTTCATTGTAAAATTTGGAGAAACAGGCACCAGCTTTTCCATATTTTGTAGCTAACGTGACCAACTTCCATAGCAAAGTGAC